TCTTCTGCTGGCATTGGGCATTTGTCATGTTCTGAATTTTAGATATCTCTTTAGCCATTTCTTCCCACACTTGCCAGGCATGCCTCATCTTTAGTCGCGTGTGTTTATTACACCGTAGCTGAACTAATAGCTTCTCTTCTTGTTTGCCTCACTTTCCTTAACCTTTGCCAGTTTTCGACCACACTGGTTCCTCTTCAATCGACTTTGGCTGTGAAAGTGAAGGGGATTGAACAGACACAGAGCTGCTGGAACTTGATTGTGTGAACAAGGGTTGACTGACCCCAGGCTGAACCAGGACACCAAACCGTGCCATTCCATTGCTGATGGCACAATATTATGGGCAATGGCTGGCCTATATCGACTTTGGTCCTCATATGAGGGAGAACCATTGTCCCAGAATGGACAATTTGAGAATTCATGACCAGCCGTGACAAGAGAAATAGATATTGGGACGATGATTTATTCAAGATTCACTGAATTGATTGACAATTTGGTTAAAAGAAAAGCATAAAATGTTTGTTGATCGTAAAAAGTCTTGCATCAAGGACAACGGCATCTTTGAAGATTAATCTCTGTAGAGAAGTTTCTGTCTGCAAAGAGACAAGTAGGTCGCACTTGGCGTGGTCAACTGATGACAGGATTTTGACAGATTTCTGGGTTCTCAAAATAAACTTGTCTCGACTTTGTCTTTAGTGCGACCTAGGCCCAAGCAATGCTCTCTTTTATGTAGGCACCCCCCCCCCTCCCTCTTGTGGCAACACGATGGCAAAATTCTGTAGCATACCCATCTAAGCAGTTCCTTTTGATCTCGCAACCATGTTTAATTAAGTAGAGCAACATCCATTGGATAGGTCTTCATCGTAAGTAGAAACTTGTTGAAGGTTGACGTAATTGCTTGAGTATTCAGATGCATGATTTTAAGGTTGGGGCTGAGGATTTCTTGAATATTATCAACCAAGCTTTCATCAAGAAAAGTGTCAGTGGTTGTGTCCAACTCAGAGCATGTGTGGAAAGGTAGTAAGGATACTAAAGACTGGCAACATGTCCATGTCAGTGGTATGTTGGGAAGGACTTGTTTTACGTTAAAGCTAGTGACTCCAGAGCAGCAAGCATGTTTTAATGACATGCAGACCTCACAAAGGACACACTTTTGATTTTTCCAAACTGTTTCCTCACAAGAAGGACAAATAGCAGCAACAATGATGCAGTTACCCTTTTCTTGCTATGACATCCTTTGGTGACAAAACTTCCTTCATAAATAGGATAAATAGGATACACTGTTGGTATTTGGAACAAATAAACACTTTTTTGTGTCATTCAGGCAAGAGTGATTGATGCTAAATATTTTTCTAAACTACATGTGCAAACCGTAATTAATCTAACTCAAAATCCAAGCTTAAATTGCTCATCTAACAAACAAAAATGGTTAGTCTTTTAAAAAAAAACTCCTCCAGTTGCACTTGAACATGCAACACTTCTACATGTTTAATTATTATTATTACACTGTGCCAAATAGCATGCCTTATTGATTTAATTTAAAGTTACAAAAAGTCTTTCTCCTCAAGTTGCCTCCATTTCCAGTCCCTCCACATTTCATAATGATGCTGTTCTGTGATGCTCAATAAGACCCATCCATTGCTATCAATTCGCTGTATGATACTTGACACATCTATCAACTCTTCTGTGGTCTCCTTCATTCAAAATTCCAAGGCCCTATCCCACTTGTAATGAAAAAAAATCTTTGTCTCAACTTCCCCTTCCTTACCTGCCTCCAGTAATCAAAATCTACCATTTCTTCTGTTGTCATTGCTGCATGGTAACACCCTCTTGGAACATTTATCCCTTACTCCTTCCTTAGTTTGAAAAGCTGTTGCTCAGTGATGGCTCTAAGGCCTTGGAATACCTTCTTTCCTTTTTTCGAATAGAGCATCTGTAGGGTTGGAATCTGTGAAGAAGATCAGTCTTCATTAGGAAAGAACCTTTAATGACACTCAGCTCATGAAAGACTGTCTTCACCAAATAGGTATTAAAAAGCACATTCGGCCTACTTTCATTGGGTTGGTTGGACTTCTTTGCTAATGAAGTACCACCAACCAAGTATCAGTATGTTAATGATGATATGCTATAAATTAACTCAAGGGACTATGAAAGCAACCTCATCCTTATGTTAACCCAACAAACAAATTAAGTAATTGATGAAGGAACATCAATCACTTGATGTATTTATAATAATTTGACTTAAAATTTATTGCAGACATAAGGCAATAAAAAAACATCCAAAACTGGTCATCAAAGGACGCATAACACAAAAGTAATAGAAACTGTAATAATAATAGTGATCATAATGATAATAATGATATTCCCCTAAACTACTTGGCATGTTACAAGAACATCTCTGCATAGTATATAAAATAATAATTATAATAATGATGTTCCCCTAAACTACTTAGCATGTTACAAGAACATATCTACATAGTATACAACAACAACAATGGTAATAATAATAATAATAATAATAATAATAGTAAGAATAATAATACAGTAAAGTAAGAGAAAACAGAAGCAGGAGAAAACCATAAATCACTCACAAATTCTGCATATGACCTTCAAGGGTCACAGGGTAAGCAAATAGCTCTAGGAGCCAACTCGAACGCACCAGCCAGGCATACAAATTCAAGATCAACAACATATTTAATCACTGACAATGCTTATTGGAGTAGTAGCAATATATGATAATCAAGCGTGGTTCGAATTTGGTGAAGCTCCTAAATAATAGCTTAGATAGCAAAGATAATGTTTTGTAGCGTAGCACGATGGTACTCTCTTCAAAGCAAAATAGCAACTGAACTTGACACAATCAGGACACTTATTTATCGAACGTGTAACGCGATCTAACTTATGTAACCTCGATTCTTATGTAATAATTATGGATGCCAAAAAACGTGATTCAAACAATCGTTAAGCAAAGTGTAAACAATCAAACAAGAGAATAGAATATAAAAAAGGCGTTTCAAAACAAATATTCCAGTCCCTTTATTAAAGGGGGAAAACCCTATAGCCTTTAACAACAATGTAACATGAGATTTGAACTATACTCAAAGTAACGAAATGTGAAGTAATCATAGTTGTTGACACTGAAGTTCCTTTGTGCATTGGCCCATTTTCGCCTTTCTTGTAGCGTGGGTAGATATTCACGAATCCAACACCTCCAATAGACGTTGGCTAAGTGCTGAACTTGTTTCCACCTGCAACTAGGGTAGTTATCTTCTTTGCTGAACCAACCAGGGGGTAAGGTAGGTCCTGATCGCAATAACAACAGGTGGTTGGGCATGAGGGCTTCAGGATCAGTGGGGTCATCTGATACTTTGGTTGTGGATAAGCTGTTGATAATCGCTTCTACTTAACAAATTAGAGTCAGCAAACCCTCGTCATCTAAAGGCTCTTCCTTCGTGAGAGCTTTCATCACCTTCCGCACAGAACGAATGCATCACCCCCATGATATGACCGGGCAGGAGGATTGAAAATCCACTTGATGTTTCTTGCCAGAAGAAAGTCGTGAATTTTGCTTTGATTCCAGTCGCAAACAGCTTCACATAACTCTCTCTTGGCTTTCACAAAATTTCCACCATTGTCAGATCTCATCAGCAGAGTTTGTCCTCTTCAAGCAATACATCGTCTGAGAGCATCAATGAAGGAATCTGTATCCATACTGTGGGCAACTTCGATGTGAATTGCCCAGATTGACAGGCAAGTGAATAGAACTCCGTATCATTTGACGGTGCTTCTTCCTCAGCAAACATCTAACGGCCCAAAACAGTCCACTCCGACATAGCTGAATGGGGGTTCTGAAGGAGTCACTCTATTGTCAGGTAGATTAGCCATTTTTTGTTGACCAACTGCTGCCAGTCTCCTTCTGCAATCAAAGCATGAATTTAAGATATGGCAAAGGGGAATTCGTACTTGGATGATCCAGTACTTCTGTCTGATCAAGTAAGTAAGTAAGTAAGTAATAACTTTATTTAACGAGGGTAAAGACATTGATTACTGGTCACCCAGTAGTTTTCATAATGGCCCTCCTACAATTAAAGTACTAAAATGTATCGATTGAATAATTGACTACCTATATAATCTACAAACTAAAATTACATTAAGAACTACTATTAATACAATATTGATTGATTTACTACTAATGAAACTAAAAAGGTTTACGAATCTTAAAATGATCAAGAAAAGAAGTCATACTACGGTAAAATTTAACTAAGTAATTTTTAAAATTAGTATGAGAGAGTGTTTTTGGTTCGGGATCAAGAGCGTTCCACAAACGGCAAGCGCTTGAGTGAAACGTTCTAAGGCCAGAGTTCCTTTTACAAGCTGGTGTTGTAATATTGTTATTAGAAGCGGATCTCGTGTTATAATTATGGGTGTTACTTATGTGTTCAATATATTTATTAAAATAAGCCGGGCAATGTCCTTGATTTATTTTATGAAGCAAATAAAGCTTCCTAATACGTATGATATCATCTATAGGCAGCCAATGTAATTTGTTAAAAAGCTTGACTGAGTTTTCGTGAGTATCAGCATCTAAAATAAGCCTAGCACATCGTTTCTGTAGTCGTAAAACTCTTTGGAGATTACCATGATCAAGGATGGAGTGTGCTCGAGACCAGAGTTACCACTGATCAAATGGTAGTGGTGCATGATGGGTTCTGAAACGTGGTGATCTTTAAGGAGTATAACAGGATGTTTAGCCTCTTTCTTGATAGCCGAATTATGTAGCCGACCACCGACGCATATGATTCCCTCCACGAAAACTGGATCTAGCTTGACAATGCTGCTTGATTTTTTCACTTCTCTCTGCACCGTTCTCAAAGAGAGCAATTCTTCATAGAAGCCCAGGCCTTGGACAGCTCTGATTATAGCCTTTTCGGCAGAGGGCTCAATTTCTTCTCACTACAGGGCTGTATCACTTCTCCTCGCTTTTGCTTGGTAACAGCGTTTCTTCAACAATCTTTAAACCATAGCATCCAGGCCACACACTTCTTTAGCTGAAGCCGCAAGGAGAAACGCTCGAATAATTTGTTGATAACTTGGTTGGCGGGGTGGGCCACAATGAGGAATGTAGTTGTATTTTCTTCAGATGTGCGTAGCTCCTCTTCTCTATCTTCGTACATAGCAGCAGGGCGTTTTGGCCAACTTTCCTCATTCTGCCAAAGAAAACATGGACCCATACACCAGTGGTTACTCCCTACGATGACATCCACAGTCAATCCTCTTGAGGCGTCATCAGTGGGATTGAGATTCGTTTCAACATACTTCCACTGGATAGGGGAAGATTGTTCACTTATTGCTGATACTCGATTTGCAACAAATGTTTGATATCTGCTACCTTTATTCTCCGCATAGCGTAGGACACACGTGCTATCTGTCCAGAAGAAAGACTCTTCAATTCTGTACTCCAACTCTTCACGAATCATCCTGTCCAATCTTGTAGACAGCACAATGGCGGAGAGCTCCATCCTCGGAATGGTAACTGGTTTTAGTGGAGCTAGCAACACAAAGCAGCAATGAACATTGCCTTGTGAGTTGACGAGCCACAGATAGGACACTGCACCATAAGCCAGTTGAGAAGCATCAGAAAAATAAAGGAGTTGGCAGGAGACAACTTCTCCAAAATCTGGAGGATTGAAACATCGATCAACAGAAAACTCTTGAAGCTTTGGCAGCATTTCAACCTAGGCCTTCCATCGTTCAAAATCTTCAGGAATCTTGTCATCTCAACCAGGCTTCTTCTAGCAGAGGTCTTGGAGGATTAGCTTAGCTGTGAGGATAAAGGGGGGCTACAAATCCGAGTGGGTCATATACTGAACTGACCACCAGCAGGATTCCTCTTCTTGTAGTTGGTCTGTCCTTCATGGTGATCTTGAAGCCAAAGGTATCTGTGGCTATGTGCTAACGCATGCCCAGGACTCTTTCAATAGGGGCATGATCAAAGTCCAAATCCTTCACTGATGTCACGTGCTCTGAGGAAGCGATGGATTCCATAACTTCAGAAGAGTTGGGTAGCCACTTGGCCAAGTGAAACTCACCCTTCTTAAATAGACTCATTAGATCTTTCAGGTGGGTAATGGCGGTTTGCTCTGATTTGACTGACTTCAAGCAGTCATCCATGTAAAAGTTTCACTTTACTGTAGCTGCTATTTCTGACCCAAAGTCCTTTTCGTTGTCATCTGTGGTTTCCATAGTGAAATGAATACTAGGGTGGAGTCCATTGAGTACATTGAGTACATTCAATGGACTCCACCCTAGTATTCATTTCACTATGGAACTTTCCAACAACGATTCAATTCCTTTTATTGGAACGTTGATAACAAAGAACGGCAACAAGCTGGAGACTTAATTACCTTCAATTACCTTTAATTACGATGCGTGTTCTTTAATTGAAATGAATTATCTGTAGTGGTGGGTGTCTTCTTTTGAAAACATCTGTCTATCGTAATTAACATATCTTGGGTGAGACGACCCTTTAATGTGTTTTGTAAACCAATCAAATTGAGCATTCTTTCTTGATGAAGGGTCTTTGCTATAAATACATGTCATACCTAAGTGCACGGTCCTTTACCCTCTCTAGTTTTTCAAGTATATTCAACCTATTGACTTTGCCTGTTACTTTTCCGGAGATAGATGTGGTGTGAGAATTAAGGATCTGTGTTCACTTACAGTAGATCAAAATTATGAGATATACAACGCACGATGTTTATTGCGTTGGAGACTTACTACACCCTTTTCAAAGGTTAGGTTATATTTGGTTTTATTATCTGTGCTTTGGAAGCTTATTTCATTGGACAATGAATGGCATTTTAACTTTTTTTCCGCCGCCGCTGTCATTATTCTTTAAAAAAAAGTGTCACCGTCTGTCGATAAAGAGCACACAATTCGACTATTTAAAGGGTTAAAAACCTCCAGTTTGAGACATGACGGCAAACGGGACGTCGGTAGAGTGAACTCGCAATACTTCCAGCCGCACTCATAAAGTTTTGATTTCTATTTCATTCTATATCAAGCGCGTGTTTTTAGTAAACGTCAAAACAATTCTAACACTGTTTGTTCCCATTGGACCGCGAGTAAGGAAATTTCATTTTCCGATGATGTAGTGTTCAACGCTGGTGTACTAAATGGTGGTGACGGTAAAAAATGTAGATCGTATTAGGTTCCGTAACTTTGTAAATCCACTTTATAGGGATACAACTGTTTCGAGATATTTGTCCGACAAAATGGAGCAAAACAATGGCTGTGTGCAAGTGTTTTAAAAAACATTGGTTAATTTCCTTACTGTCCTCCGTAATACAAGATAACTGGTAACTACAGTTTATCATCCAAAAAAAAATTACATTCCTGAAACTCAAATGGGAAATGGTTTTTGATCGCATGCATTTTAGCGAAAGCTTAATTGACTTTCTTTCCTTTGATTTGTAAAAACAAAGTAAAATGCGAGAAATTGGACCTTTCTCGGAAACCTTCGATTTTTTTTTACTGCTCGGTGTATTCATTGGTTCAAATGATATAGATATAGAATGTGAACCGCGAAGCACCCGTAATATAAATTATAATTTTTTTTAAATAAATATTTGGGTGCTGGAAGAAGGCAATACTGCCGATACAATAAATCCCCCTGGGTTACTACCCTTTTAAGGGAAATTTGGGAGTCCTCACGGGGCAAAGAAAATTTGACCAAGTGGGGATTGAAGCCATGACCTCCGAATTAGATCTACTGACTGAGCTACGAGACCAGCACGAGAGCAGGTCGGGGTAAATTAGGTAGTCAATCGCGATAAATGTGCAAATGATATCATATGTACAAAACGGGGTAGTGTGGGGAGAAATTAGCATTTGAGGGTGTGTTTGCGTGTGCTTCGTGTGAGCCTATTGCTGCATAAAATGGAAATAACATAAATTAATAATAAGAAATACAATGAAAATAAAAGAAATGAGAAATAATGAAATATATATTATAAAAAAAATAATAAAATAATACATATCTCGTTTCGCTCCAGAAGTCTTTGTGTGGGTAGTTATTTGAAGTTGCCCAACCCCCCTACCCACGGGAAAACTGAAAACTTCAAACATTTTCCACCCTAGGGTCACAAGGGCCGATCTTGTCCCGGGTATTACCTCGGGAGGGTGGTAACCGTAGGAAATCAGCGTTGTTGTTCAGCCTACAGGATTGAATAGTATTTGAATTTATTATTAGTTTTGTTATTGCTATTTTATGCAGTAATAGGCTCACAGGAAGCATTAAGGAAGGTCTCTTCCCAGCCCCCCCACCCCCATCACACACGCAGACACACACACCCTCAAATGCTAATTTCTCTCCATACCGAGCAGTGAAAAACAAATCGACGATTTCCGTTAAAGGTCCAATTTCTTGTATTTTACTTTGCAGATTTCATGCGTATTACCCACATTTGACCGTATGTTATCTGTGTGTTACTCCATGTATTCTATGTTACTTTTATGTTACTCATATGTATCTGTGTGCGCCCGTATGACTCGTAATTACTCGTATGTACTTGTATGTTACTCGTAGTGCTCGTGTGGTGTTTTAGTCACTATCCTTTGAAGATCAATTGAACAAATGTAAGCTTATTTGCACCTTATCTTCTTCTCGCGAATGGCTATAGCACGTTTTATTCTCTTCTCTTCCATCCCAGCAAGTCGATCTCACCGTAGTGACTTCAACAGAAAAATAGCGCCATCCGAATTATTCCCAAAATCTTCGGCAAAACCTGTAGCCAGATTAGAGCCAAAATGCCAAAAACTGTGCGCATTTTACCTTGAAAATGTTAACAATTAATGTGTCATCAAGAAATGTGCCCATAAAGAGATTCACCTCGATGCCTCGTATACATTGTATTTCATCACACAAATCCTAACTTCCTACAAGAATACCTTAAGGAATTCATTTGGAGAAGATGGCGTGGTGAGCTTCACCTGATGGAGGACATTGCAGAACAATATCCACTTTAAATACCCAGAGGTGGGGGTACTCCCATATACATGTTTGTGCCGCGGGATAGGGTATGGTTTTGGCGGTTATCGTTTTTCCTCTGTTAGCATTGTGTTTCCGTTGTGATCTTTAGATAGGATATGTAAATTGTATCGGCTAAAATTGCAGTGTGTAAATGGCCAGCTAAACCAAAAGAAAATTCCGCTAAAATTGTCAACAAAGCGATTTTATCTAGATTTGTGTTTTGCCGCGCGTGGTTAGCCGTTGTTTGGTTATTGTTTTTCCTTGAAGAGGGTGTCATATTTCGTGTTTGGACAATTCTTGTTTGTTTCATCCTTAAAGTGGGACAGGGTTCAAGACTCTTCGAGGCACACACTTATTCAAAATTTACGGGAGTACCCCCCTCCCCCGAAACGGGACAGTTCCTGTGACCTTAGTGCAACATTGGTGCAATTTGGTTTTTTTTTCAATTTTAGACTCAGAAGCATATACGGTAAAAACCCGCTAATAGGAACCTAATTTTTTCCAAGTAAGGCTAAGAAGGTTATTATAAAAGATGGTGCTTGACTGGAAAATTTGGCTACTCAGGTTCTTTAACAGGTTCTTGTTTTCAAATAGACTGCGAGCAGTCTCTTTTGCTGTGAAATCCCACTGGAACGAACGGGGAAAAAGCGGACGTGATCGACGAGCGATGAGGGGCGAGGCCGTGATCTGCGAGCAGCAGGGGCGCCAGTCACAGCGAAAAGAGATCGCAGCTTGGCCGCTCACCGCTCGTCGATCGCGCCCTCTGCTCGCAGTCTAGTTTTCAAAATAAATGAGTTGTTTGTCATTGGAGGGCGTGGCCTATTTTTGGTATTGTATGCATAATATGTTAAAAATCCAAGCATATATTTACCAAGTTTACAACAGTTCGGGCCATAACCATTTCTGGATATCGGTTTCGAGCTTTGTGATTGGGTGAGATCAAAACCAAATCAAAGCAAATTTGGCCGAGAGGTGCTGGAAACAAGAAGAAGCTGAATTTTTTTTTTTTGTGGCGGCCATGTTGTAATGCGGTAGTAAGCTGAAACAAAATTCGCTAATAAGGACTGGACGTAAGATACCATTAAAAATATTCGTTTATTTCAAACATTCAACATGCATGTCCTCGACATTCTCGCATTCTGGAAGAGTAAAGCGGATTCTTTCTAGCACAAATTCTTTGTAACGCTGTGGTCCTTCCACCAAGAGCGTCACAGGAATAAAAGCTCCTCCGCCAGTCTGTTTGTATCTGGAGAACTTCTGGGTAGAGCTTGGCTTCGATGTTACTGTCCGTTCTCCGTTGATTTCCCTATTTTGGGTTACAAGAAAACCAATTAAATAAGGTTGAACCAAATAACGCGCACTGATAACAATTGGGACGAGTGAGGTGTGAGATCGCGGAATCGGGACAATTTCATTTCTCTCCAGTATAGGTCGAGGAAAGACAATATCTTGCTTCTCTCCGATTTTTAAATAGACATTATCAATTTCAGTCCATCAAGCCTTTACGAAAAAGTAACAGTAAAGCAAGAAAACAGTAACTTACCCTTCAATTCCTGGTTATTTTGCCACATCGAAGCAAAGCATGCAGCTGTATGTTTAGAAAGTGCTGAACCGTGCCGATCTGCTGCCCTTTGACATCTCCTAAAGTGTATGTCTTTCTCTGCGATTTGCTGAAAATCTGGACTTCTCGTAGAGCCTCTGGAATGCGTTCCATTTCTCGTGGAAGAAGACAAGCCAGTGCATGCGAGTCATACGTGTTGTCGTCTTCACTTTGAATAACAAGCGGTGTTCCACGTGGAGCTTTGATCTTGAAATTATGATACCTGGAAAATAAACGCCAATAAATACATGAGTGGGATAAAATAAAATCAAGTAGTCACAATCTATATTAAGACGAATACACATGATCGAATTCAATGCAAGAGAATCATGCAAGGTATTTTGCGCGCTATTGATCGATTCGCGGGAGAATCTAGGTCTCAGAACACTACAAATTCGGTCATACAGCTTTTAGTCAGCAATGATATGTCCTTTACAATTACCCTTTGATTTGAACACCCTGTATAGAAAGTTTGTTTAGGTAATCACTTCAAAATGTGAAAGCACGAGCGGTGTTTCTAAACGAGTTTCACAATTACAGACAAGTCCCTTGTGGTTTTAATTTTTTTGTAATAGTGGGAAAATTTCACTATCATCAGTTCGTGTAGTTAAACTCCAACCTTTGTTTCCGGAATGCTGTAATAGAGACACTTCGGCAAGGCTTTCCACCAATGTGATTTCTTTATTTTCATCTTCATGCCGCTCTTATCGCACATTTCCCGGATACGATACCTGAAAATGTGAGAGCTCAGTGAACGAATACCTCTTTGTTTTATGTTTGCCCGAAGGAGAACTTACTCGCTGGATAATCACATTTATGTGTTAGATCCGTGGTTTCCTGAAATTATTTTTTAGTGTGCATTCGCCTTGGCTGAATGAATCTCTCTGATGTTAAGATCGACATTGATTCGAAATTTCATCCAGAGCTCCGATTTAAAAGATTCTTTGTTTGTAGCACTGACCCAGGTCCGTGGCAGATTTGTGCCACAAAGACAACAGTGTCTCGAGATACTGAATGTGTTCATCCGTGCTGTTGGCTTGATCTGAATTCACAATGTAGGCTTATAAAGGTCCGATAAATAATTGTCCTTTTACTTTAAATTGGCCGGCCACAACGTATGGTTAAAATTTATGGTTTACACGATACTCCGATGGATCTGAACAAAGGAATCCATCTGGTAGTTTGCACACTAACAGACTTTCAACATTCGTGCACTCGAGCAAAAAACTCGTGCACTCGATTAGAATTTTGACAAATTGGAAGCAAATTTATTCTAGTTTTTTAAAAGATTCTTTTAAGGAATCAAAAAAAATGTTGCATACCTGAAAACCTCAACTAAATAGAGGTTATTCCTCGATCGAGCCCTTGGCAACATGGTCCTCCACCCGACTTTTCATCTGAATTTTTCCTTCTCGTCATCGCGACCACCATCAGTTCTTTGCTTGTTGTGTGTAATTGCTTGTCTTCTGTAATTTTGCAAGGTTTCATGGGATATGGGTAGGGAACTAAGTCGCTAGGGCTCGAATGAAGTAATGAGTGAGTTTCCTCGATGTCCCACTACGACATCCATGTTGGTGACGTCATCAAGTATCCAGAAATGGTTATGGCCCGGGCTGTACAAAGTTATCCAAGATAAACAGAACAAAACGCAACATTAATACATGGAACTGTGTTGTTGCTTTGACGGAATTTCTCAAAAAAAAGAACCTGTTTCAAAGTTGTAGGCTAAAACAGATTCTCGTGTAAAAGGAGTTTTAATGTACAATTTTTGTCTAACATTTTCAGTTAATCTTTTTTTTTCGTAAAATCTAGGTTCTTAAGAAAGGGTTTTTTACTGTACCTGTAATAAATTCAAACATTGCAATAGTCTAGCACACTCGAGTTAATTTACGCGAGGTATTTTGAGCATTTGACGTCATTTTCCCTAATTCTCAACCAGGCTATAACTGGAACGAGATAAAGAAATGGCGACTGCAACTTCTCGGAAATAAAAATACAAATTAAAAAAAGATTTCTGATGGTCGTAATGGATTGATATTTAGCAAGGTATTTTAGACAGTCATATTTTACACGAAATTATAAAAATGGATATGGATAGTTTGATCGTAGTAGCACTTTAAAAACATTACTTTCCCCCTACACTTCTGGAGGTGGAAGTCTACGAGAAGTTTCCATTTACCCACTTTTTGTTTAGCAATTTATTAAAGCTTTGAATATCTATCATCTTGAGGCCTCCTTTATCGTAATCATTGATCATTTGTGTCCTTTTAAGTTTGTCCCCTTTGCTTTCCCAGAGAAAGTCATATAGCAGGGTATCGATTTCCTTAAGTGCACCCTGATGCGTTGGAAGAGAGGTTAAAGCATGTACAATTTGGGATACTGCCAAAGCTTTTATTATCGTGATTTTACCTAGAAGAGTAAGTCTCCTAGCAGACCAGCTGCTTAGGATGTTTTTTACTCTCTCAATTTTCTCTGAAAAAATGGCATCGCTAGAACACATCAGAACGCTTTAAAGGTAGTGAAAAATGCGATGGAAAATTTGGAGCTATGCGATGTTTGGAGAATTTTTAATCCAAATGGCAAGAGGATTATCTGGAGGCAAAGACAACTAGATATTCATTGCAGACTTGATTTTTTTTTAGTAAGTCAAACTACAGTACTTACCCGCTTATAAGAATCTGAGTTCTCAGTTCTAAATGTACTCGTAGGGTGTACTTATGTGAATTCTAATTCAAAACCAACATGTACATACTACTGTTTTTAATACATTATTTATACCAAATTTAGAGATTTTTATAGTTCATACATGTTTAAGTTCACTACTTTTGAGAGTCATGTCTTTTATCTTTGCCTGATGATCTTTGAGGTTTATTTTCTAAAACAGGAACCTGTTTCAAATTTAGGCTAAATAGATTCTTATGTAAAGGGGGTCTAAATTGATATTTTTAGGCTAACAGGTTCGTGAATTCTAGGTTCTTATAAGCGGATTAGTACTGTATTTCCGATAGGTGGGTGCCGCGGAGTTCCCTATTAAAGGATAAAAAAAATTGATACCGTTGTTAAGGCCCAAACCCCCAAAAAGACGCCCTATTCTAGGTAAAATAACAATAATGAAAAAACAAACAAACAACGGCTGACCTCGCACTGCAAAAAGAAGTCTTTATAAAATCGCTTTGCTTATGAGTTTAACCGCCTAGTTCAGTTTCAAAAGATCATTTGCTTTTCGTTTAGCTGGGCAGTTACACACTGCAATTTTAGCTGATACAATTTAGGTGGATCCCATTACCGACATAAACTGGACAGTTAATATCGGTAACGTTGTACAAGCAATATAACGTTAAGGACCTGTTAGAGCTATAAGAGCTAAGGAATAATAATCATTTTAGGTATGTTGGATTAAGGGCAGCATGACATCAGGAATAAAGCATAAGCCGGGTAGTTCAGTTTAGGAATAATGGAAATACGTTAAGGTACAACATTAATTACACAAGAGCGACCAACTTTACAATGTATTTTTCCATTACCGAATCGGAACAGATATCGAAAAAACCTCGCACTCTTTCTTAGCCTATTTTCTTCTGAGCGATATGGTCGGTAAGTGAACCTATACTTGGCCGATACTTGACCGATACTTGGCCGATACTTGATCGACACTTGACCGATACTTGACCGCTACTTGACCGCTACTTAACCGCTAATTGACCGATACTTGACTGATACTTGACCGCTACTTGACCGCTACTTGACCGATACTTGACCGATACTTGACCGATACTTGACCGATACTTGACCGATGCTTGACCGATACTTGACCGATGCTTGACCGATACTTGACCGATACTTGACCGATACTTGACCGATACTTGACCGATACTTGACCGATACTTCACCGATACTTGACCGATACTTCACCGATACTTCACCGATACTTCACCGATACTTCACGGGCAGGTGATCGCTACATATCGGCCGATGCATCGGCCGACAGTCGGTCGATATATCGGTTGACCATCGGTCGACTATCGGTCGACAATCGGTCGACTATCGACCGATAGTCGGTCGATTGTCGACCGATAGTCGACCGATAGTCGACCGATATATCGGTCGACTGTCGCCCGATATGTCGACCGAGTCCACCTATAGTACACATGATCCGGCAAGTCAATAACCTAACTTCCTTTGTTTGGAATTGTGTGATTATATAATTTTGCTGTGTTGGTTACCATACTGTAACATGTAATATTATTATTTAGATTGCATTAAATACACTAGCTCAAGCTTTCCTTAATGCATGGTGTTTCTTACCAATGGTCCTACCCAAACTGAACATTGAAATAAGGAATTGGTCACAAGATATGTGAGTTTAAAAGGGTGGGAATCTGGAAAAACAAGGATCCTCCTTTAATTAGGACTGAAATTAATGGGGGCCCTCTTATTTTAATGTTATTAATTTAACCTGCCTCCTCCCCTGTAATGTTTAGGGCACATAGATGAAGAGAACATTTTTTTTGTATTTTGATGCATAAAAGTTAAATTACCAGTAATTGGCATCCACATAATCACAAAACAAGAATGTAAAGCTTTAGCTTAATTGGTTAAAAAATCAAAGTAAGAGAGTTTTGCAGACCGTATCTGACTTTTTATCCCGGCTCTGGATATTTATTTAAGTAACAAAGACACTATCAGTCTCATTCACTCTTGCTTTCCACTGAGCTTGTGGAAAGATGATAACATCATTATTTCTTTAAATGAAGAAAGGAAAGCCTGCCCTCTTACCACAGATAGTTCTGTTGGGCATCATCAGTTCAAGATAATTGTTCCAGGACTAGGCTAACCTTAAAAATTAGTTGTGAAAATTTCTTGAACCTGTCATTTTACATCTTGAATGTTTGACTCAATTTTACCTCACCAACCTAAACTGAACTGAAGGTGTGCATCAAAATTTCAAAGTCATCACAGGCTTAAACTATAGGTTTACAGGAAACCTGCATGTGCATGTGTTTTCAACATATGAAACTGGGATTATGACTACTTCAAAAGACTTTACTACATGCCATATAGGTACAGGCAGGTGTTGTAAAAAAAGTTTGCTTAGCCTTTTCATTAGTACACATTTCTTTTTCTAAGAACTTTGTTTATCCAGCCTGTGCTGAATTCCAATTTTTCAACCAAATTTTATTATTTTTTTAATATTATTAAATCTCCTAGTATCAGTTAATATTCTTGTAATTAAAATAATTACATCAAATCTTGCAGATGTATGGCAGATTATTTTTCTCTGAATCTCCTAACGTTTTACCATTTGAAGGGACTGGTATTGGCTATAAAAGTATAGTCAAATTAAAGGTTTTTGCACAGCCTATGCATCACGTTTTTGTTATAAAATATTGTATCCTTCTCAAAACTAGTTTATCAGAATAAGAATGAGTTACCAGGAACAAGTATGGCTTTCATGATGATAGTTTCCAGATTTGAAAAAAAGCACTGCCCAATAAAATCCTCAGTTCCTTTGCCTTGCTAGCCCAACCTCATCAAAACATTGCCAACAGGAGTGATTAGCAAACAGGAGTGATACAGGCCAAAGGGCCTATTCCCACATACATCCTCCTCAATCCTGTTAGCTTACTATGGTCATGGCATTTCAAACATGGTGTATATGCCACAGGTTTTCCATTTCCCTAAATATTTACTTTGTAATATTGTTTATATGTTGAGGAAATGGTTGGGTTGAAATATAATACAAAGACTTGCCAGTAGATAGTTTTATTACAGTTTTTATTCAGTGTAACGTAGGGCTGGAAAATAAACTTATAAGAGCTCCGCTTTTAGGCTTGGCTAAATGTATATATTACATTACTACGAAATGAAAATGAAAGGTTGGTTTTTCAGGTCCAAAACAGTTTTTCTTGGTAAGTGTGTCCCAAGAGCGCTTAAAACAGAATAAAGAAAATGACGTGTACTTCATTTGGCACAGTTGATAACTATGGAAAAATTCAATTAAAAGGTTAAATTGCTTCCTATGCTTACGCCTTACATGCGTTTTAAATTCCTTTTTGAGTTGCGTGATACTATTATTATTATGGATTTAAAAATGTGAACTTTAGTGAAAACTTGAGCCCATTTGACTGCATGGGCTGAAATGTCTCAATGAAGAGCTTTCATTGACTGACAGTTGAGTATTGGGAGAACTATGTAATCCTTTAAGGGTAAATCAGGAGAACCAAGAAACGCGCTGAACGGTCGAAGATCCGACAAGAAAGCTCACAATATGCAAAGAAACAAACAAAGAAGCGATGCAAGTGCGCTTTTATTGAAAACTAATTCAGATTTTTGGGTTATGAGTGTGACCATATACTCCCGTACAAATCCTTACATTTCACCTATTGAGTAACATTAACATATATTTACACCAACATTATTTATACCGAGCCTAATCCTGGGAGCTTAAGCTACTTGCGTTGACCGTTAATGAATAAAGAAAAATTAATCGATGAGATAAATTCCGGAAAGCCAAAATGTTGATGATAATCTAAAAAATTCTTAGGTTTGTTTCGTTTACAACATAATTATGTTCCATGTCTTTGAATCAACCTCACATACCGGCAGGATTTAACCGAGCATGTGTTGCGGAATTAAATCAGAAACCTGGCCGCTGCTTTAAAGGCACTTGTTTTACTTCTTCCCAAATGAGCAATCTAGATTGTTTAACTTCATAGTAAAACTCAGATGTCTACTATCGTTACTCTACTTTGTAACTTTTCTCGCCGTTATAAGATGCCAAAATTACGGTTTTTAATATTCGTATAATGATAACAACAGTGTTATAAAATTCAAATGCAATTCTCATGTAATGAACGCTAAATGATCCAAACATGCCTCGTGCTTGGAGTCCCAAGGACAAACAATCAATCGATGAAAATGAAAGGCGCCCCCGGCTCACTACAAAAATTTACGTGACGGGCTAAAGGGCCAGGCTCTCTCGCCAGGTCGAGCAAAAATTCTAGTTATATTTCATCTCGCCCGATCTTCTCTCTCGGTCCATGAGGATTAACTTATCTGAACGTGGCTGTCAGTTGTTCGAAAATAACTCAGAATTATTGTACACGCAAAGGGAGAAAAATTAACCTTTACCCCACTTAACATACTAATGCTTAATTGTCTTAATAATGTTCTTACATTCTGTGGCTGTTCGCCTCAAACTTGGGTCGGATTGCCAACTCGATGTCATGAGCTCAATCCATTTTGCTGGAGGGAGATTTCCATCCTTGGGAATTTGAGGACGATAATGCTCGTCTCTAATTCGTCTATAAATATCTTCAAGACGTTGTTCGATAAAGACGCGTTTCCCAAACCACATTTCCCATATCATGAGGCCAAAACTGTATATATCCACCTTTGCACTGTGGAGTTTGCCTTCCATCACTTCCGGTGCCATGTATAAAGGAGTCCCACACACTGTGCCAGTGATTTTGTCTTTAAAGGTTGCTAGACCTAAGTCTGCAACTTTGATGTGCTCACGTTTTGAAATCTACAAATAATGTCGGGCAATGTTAATTTCCTGAAAATTTATGTCAAAAAGAGAATCGATATTTCATACGGCTTTAGGTGAAACACTTTGCCCCTGTGCCACGCTTGTATATGGCAAATTTTAAAACGGAGGTAGTGGTAGCTTAGGAGCTAGAAAACTCATCTTGCCGCAGCTTATCCCGATTTCATAAGCATGAATCAAGCTGGAGAATCTTGCATGCAAATTTTCCTAAGGACCAAAAAAATAGAGTTTATCTAATAATCATTTCGAACGAAATGAATTATTGAGCAAGTAATGTGTTGCGTCGTAATATTGTTTGCCCTTGTAATGAAGTCAGAGTATGATCCAACATGTGAACCTGACATCCGAGCTCATGTGGTCATTAGATATTTATTACTTTAGGCAATATTACAATTATTTCCAAGTCGAGATTTCAGTCAGATTACTGTTGAAGTGGTCAGCGATATACTGGAAAAGCCCAGCCAGCCCTTTTTACCGGGTTCATGGGAGGATTCCCTAATTTTCACCAATAAACTCACTACAATTTTTGCTTTGTCCTACCGTCAAGACATGACAAAAAGGAGTGTTTCTTCATTTCATTGCCTGTTTTATAATTCCCCATAGTTCATATTCTATCAACTCACCAGAATATTGGCCAGCTTGAGATCTCGATGGACAACATTCTTGCTATGGATGAATTCAAGCGCATCTAAAATTTGATTTGCCCAGAGAATTATCGTAGGTGCTGCATTAGGCGTTTTCCATGGAATGCACGCGTCATTCTCAAAGATTTGTTCGTCTAGGCTCCTGATACACAAGTCGAACACCAGAACCAGTGAAACGAGTTGTCGCTCTTGAACGTCTACGCCCACTCCATAAAATGTTACGATGTGCTTGTGCTCAAGTTGCCTGCGTGAAATATGGTGTCCAAATCAATACTTCATTCGAAAAGTCACCAGGGTAATCCATTTCTAGGCCTCGACAAATTGTATCAAACAATTTGATAAAATGTTTTATATTTGTATATTAAATTTTTATCGTATATCTTATTGTATCGCTTCTTTTTACTGTATGAAAAAATGTAATTTAAGGTAAAGGGCGTCTAATTAGCTTGCTATATTATGCCCTTCTCCATCCTCATATCTTACTTGTAATTATTCATTAGACTCTAATCTGTTGAAATGGAGGAAAAAATAAATACAAAAAAAAAATTCGTGATAGAGTAAAAGCGCGATTTGTAATCTTTAAACAATTGATAATAACGTATAAATTTCCTGTTTCTCGGGAAAAAAATAAAGGATAGCTGACAATTTACTTTGAAATAGTGGAAAGCAAGAGAAAATTAATTGCCTAGAATTTTCTGACCCAAAAATCTATTAGACTCACACCTGATAGAGTAACAGAAAGATCAAAACGGATTATTTCAGATGTAATTGACACAAAATAGTTTCAGGCGTAGTTCGGTATTCATAATCTGCAGATTGGAAGGAATAAAATCAAGTGTACTTGTAATCAGTCAATTGAGTCTAAATAGACTGATGTAATTTTATAGAATGACTCCACGACCGCTTTTTCCAGGTTAAATTATGTTCGCTTAGTATTAGATATAGCAAAGGAAGGAAAACCAGATAATCCATTAGAAAAATCCTAAATGGAAGGACAAGAATTAATAACAATGTCAATCACATGTAACACTAGACCGAGAATCGAACCTAGGCCTTAGGAGTTGAGGGCTTTAACTTCTGCACGATCTCTGGCTATTCTGACTTTTAAAAAAATCTTACTTTAGCATTGCTGCTTCTTTGAGAAAGGCGGTAACATTTGATGGATCTGGATGATTCCGGATCTTTTTGACCGCAATATCTTTTCTTCCACGTCCAGGAGGAAAGTATCTTCCTTTGTAAACCTTACTAAAGCTGCCTTCACCAACGTATGCCTTACTTTCGCTCTCATTGTACTGAATTCTACCCACTTCGAGTTGGCAAGGTGGGTTCATCACCTGTATTCCATTTTGGATTGCATCGAACATCAAGTCTTCATTTAAGTTCTTAAAGTTTGTGTACAGTGGACTGTACTTCTTTAGGATCTCTTTGTCCCTTGATTCATCTTCGCTCTTTGTCAGGTCTTTGCATCGTTGCTCGTATTTGGTGATTAATTGCTGGTGACACCTCTTGATGCTGGCGATGCGATTCGTCTCCTCGCTGAATTTGTCTTGGACATAACTGCGGATTTTGTGAGTGATGAAATCCTCGAGGAACTTTGCTGAGAGGTCTTTTAGTGTCTGACAACAATTGGTCTTTGGATGTTGTTCCTTTAGATGCCTTCCAACCGCCAGTACCCCAAGGATGGGTGCAGAAAGAACTCCTGCAACGAGGCCTACGGACATCAAAACTGGCCAAAAAATCACGCCAGTCATCACAAGAAATTTTTTCATTCTTGAATCTACTGGCGAGAACATCCGGCCCGGGCGAATCTCAAAAGGTCGGTAGTCCTCCACGTCACCTCCAACAAGTATACGGTCAATGTCTCGAATTTCTCTCTCAAACTCTAGGAAACCTCTGTCAAACCGTGCTTTCAGTTCTAAATGTGCTTGGGAGAAAACATTCTCTTTGCTTTCCCAGTTTTGGAGGGTATATTCGAATCGTTGTTCAATGCATCTGCTAAATGTTTCCATCTTTGAAAAGTTTTGACCCCCTTCCGTTTTAGGCAGATCGTCTTCTGTCCACCTGAAAAATTTCCTTCTAAATTCTTCAGATTGTAAGTAGGACGCAAGTTTTTCTTGTACTTGTTTCACATAGGAAGTTATGGCGTCCTCAAATTTTCGGATGAAGGTGCCTTGTTTAAGTTTGCTGAGTTTCTCGTCAAGTTCTTCCCGAGCCTTGAGACGTTCTACTTTGTTCCTTTTGGCATTTTGCATTTCACCTTTGAGCTGATCGGACAAGCTGCAGAGCTGGCCGCTGATCCAGCTGTTAAATAGAACAGAAAGATTAACACTTGTTAAAAGCGTTCTTTTTCATCTTAAGGTAAAATGCGACTCAGTTTATTTTTTTTCCTCATCTGTCTTTTAAATTGATTCTTAACTTAAAAAGACCAGGTGCCAGTTGTTCGAAGGCCGATTAGTGCTAACCTAGTGTTAAATTTGAATCCAGATTTTATTATTCCTTTTGTTCAAAAGCCTCTCCCTTTTCTTTTTAAAGCATACAATCATCAGATTGTGGACAGAAAGAATTACACTGGATTTCTTAGTTTTAAAACTTTCAAATTTGAAATCAGATCTCACACAAACCCTGGGTTACCCTAACCCAGCTTTGAACAGCCCGGCCCAGAGGATTAATATTTTAGCAAGCTTGGTATTTGGTGCCATTTTCGAAATTGTGCAAATATTCATTTTAAACATGACTTGGAAACACGTCGTAATATCTTGATTTGAATGTTTCTATTGGGCAACATTTGTCTGTAGCTTCTTCAGGCAATAAAAAGGACATTGAAATCATAGGAAATCTACCACGCCCTCTATAATGAACAAGTGTCATATCCCGCCGCAGGCTTCTCAAATAGGGTTATCCACAAGGGCTAAGGAAACTTGAAAAAAGCTTTCCTTATTGACGTGTGTTCAAAGTATACGATAGTTTGAGTGAGTGATAATTTGGGAGATAAATTCAAACTTACCAGTAAAAGAATTCTGTTTTTCTCTCCATGCAAAGTGGCAGAAGACGCTGTAATCGATTCACAAGAATGTTAAGATCATCATCAATCACGTCAAATCTCTCTTTTACTTCTGTGGCTCTAGAGACTGACATCTTAATGATTTGGAATTTTTCATCCAGTTCGGGAATATTCTTCCTGAGAGTGTCGATGATTTTCCTTTCAGGATCTTCCTCCTGATTTCGGTTGGACTGCTTTTTCACCTCGTCCCACTTGTTACAAACAAAAATAGCAGATTCTGAAGTGATACCACAATCATCTTCTCCCTCGTAGAGTTTTATCCATTCACTCAAGATAGGCATCAGCTGAAAGATTTATCACAAACGCAAAATTCAAAGAATGGATAATCATATTTGCTCTTGCGGCATTTTTTACAATTAATCAGAATCGGGTGTTGCGTCTTTATAAGTGGCACATACTTTATGCTGGACTAAATACATTCTTACTTCTCAAAAGTTTTTAAGCCACATAACGAGTCATGAGTTTACCCTGTCCTGTTGTAATCCTCCGGCGTTTGGAGTGTTTATGACGTAGATAAAAGCGTGGGCTCGACGCAAATATTTTAGGGTGATTTCATTGACACGCTTTGAATCGCCAATTCCTGGGCTGTCTACTATCACTACACCGCCCTATGAGAGAGAGCAGCCGAGAATCTCAGTGGGTATAATTAATTGCATGAGAGGTAATTGTAGTGTATTGAGTAAAGAGTAAAAATACTTTGCCAAAGTTAGTGATATCACTGCCACACTACTAAATGATATAAAGGTATTGTAATCAAGTAACATTGTTACTTGATTACGGTACATTATTGTACGAGCATAATAGATACTTAATCGATGAACAATATGGAAAGCAATAAAAGAGTGAGCTTCTCCACTAAATAAATATGCAACAGTATTAAAGGTTTTCTGCTTTCTGGTTGCGCATAAACTCTTACTGCGATTCTTTTATTTACTAGGAGCTTCAGTGTCAGTATCGGGGCGTGCCACAGCACAAAACAGAAAAGAACGGCACAGCATAACACAGCACATTAACAGCATAGCACGTCAGACGATACAAAGCACTAAAAATGATCTAAACCCTTGATCTGCATTGATGCATGTCCAATGACTTCCCTACTGATGTTACCCCTATACATCAGGAAGCGAAGAAGAAATTCGTTCTGTGATAGACTAGAGCTCTTGTGCCAGCAAGGCTTTATGAGGTGAAAACCTTTGAATATTTTCAGCTTTTTATCAGAGATTGTTGCTCCTCCATGCCAAATTGTTTCATATACGTAAAATACCTCTGTTATTTTTATAACACACACGCAATAATTTTCTTCACCTTTAATAATGGATTTGGAATCCTGATCTCTATCCACTCGCACCAGTTTTCGTTCTCTATCGGCTCTTGAATGTAATATTTAAACTTGTCAAATGTGTCCCCGGTAAGTACACGAGGTGGTTTGCGTCTATTAGCGAAGTGCAGCACAGCTTCTTCAGCCGGTCCATATGACACTTCACATATAGTCAGTGTGTTCTGTTGGATACTGGTTGGCATGATGTTTTTTCCAAGTAAGAGGTTAATAAGACTACTCTTGCCAGCGCTGGTTTCTCCTGATGTAGTGAAATGGGAAAGGTTTGAAACAGTGAACATATATTCCACTCCTACGATGGAGAATATTTGAAAATTAAAGGTCCCTCTTATACCCGTGGATTATGAGCGACTCGTACCCTCATCATCGTACTTTATGTTATACAGAGAAGATGGACAGAAAATATGTCGAACACCAACTAAGCCACAAGGGTTAACCTCTGAAAACGATTGGCAATTTGCCCCAGTTTTACGATCCTTTGAAGCATCTAATGACAGTTATTTTGAGTCTTTCAACACCTTAATTAATTTTCGTTATTGTAAGTTTTCATTTTCGTCATAATCTTGTCTTAAAGTTACAAGAGGACTGCTAGCTGAACGACTGTTAAGAAGGCAAAGAAAACGTAACGGAGAACAAGCGGCGGTGGAGAGAAGAGTGTTCCATGGCTTTCGGCGTAAGGAAATGCTGACAGCGAAAGTTCATACTTTTTTACTGAAATGAGAGAGGGGTCAATCATGACTTAACAAATGAAAACTAGGGGAAAAACTCCTGAATTTAATCTGGGAAATACGAGAAGGTTTCAACTTTATTGTTGTAAGACTTACCGAGAATAAGAACAGTGTATCTCTTGGTTCTGAGATCCTTGAGATATGCCTCAGCCACCTTCCGAAAGTCATTTACTTCAGTCTCGCTTACTGCTTCAGTTGTCTGCAGGTTGTCTTTAACTTTCTCATAGTGCTCTTTCAGGACTTCTCGGCGACCGAGTGTTTGTTCTATATTGGCTAAGATTCGCGTATATCCCTAAACAAAGAATGGTTGCTTTAAAAAGTAAAATCTTGGGAGTGTCTGCGGCTAAAAGAGCAAAAATGCTGTACCATTTTGATTAATATGGTATGCCTATTTGCATGCTTTGAAAGCGGGAAAGGACTAAGGAATTCATCGGTGCTGTATCTTTATTTGGTGATTTCAAGCCCTCGATTAACTTTCTTCGTTTGAACAGACGAACCAATTCTAAAACTACCTGTAGTGATGGGACTACTTTTGACATCGCTGTTGCTTCGTACACGAGGGCAACAGAATGCACTCAAATTCATAGCTGACGTGCACGGCAGTCGCTTTGTTGTCTCAGACCTCTTTCTCGTTTCCGCTACCGTTTCATCCTAGTGCACAATGTCTAATGTACACATTTCTATTTCCTCTCCGCATCAACTTCTGCGAAATCTAGTAGTAATGCTAGGTAGTAAATGCTCCGCCGGTATTCGACAACTTAATGTTGGCGGTTTCTATCCACTGAATCTTTCTTTTACCATCCGTATCAGGTCAAGGCTCAAGATCTTGATTTAATCTGGTTTAGAATATCTCGAGATAATGTCTTCGTCTGCACACCTGATGTGCATCTGATTGGGAGGTTAAAGTCTATGCACGAAGGTTTTAGATTAGGTTCTCCATTTTATGAACACGTCCAGCAATTAGAATAAACAGAACTAGTTTCAAAATTAAAGCTATTGAGTCCTTTGCGAGGTTTCATTTAAGCTGAGTACAGTTAGGCCGAATACTATTCAGCGACCGTTTAGGTCTTCTGTGGAAAATTCGAAGCTGTCGCGATAGTTGATTCGAAGAACGACCCACTTTTAAACAATCACTGCCACAGGATGATACTACTTCAGGAAGTGCAACCTTTTCACCCTCTTTTGTCATCCGTTTGAGTGATCAGTTAAGATCTTGATTTAATTTGGTTTAGAATATCTCGAGATAATGTTTTCGTCTGCACACCCGATGTGCATCTGATTGGGAGGTTTCGAGAGGTTAAAGTCCATGCACGAAGGTTCTAGATTAGGTTATCCATTTCATGAACACGTCCAGCATTTAGAATAAACAGAACTAGTTTCAATATGAACAACGGGGTTGTTGTGTGTATCATCGAAAATGTTTGTTCTGAGTGTGCTTACATTGGAAACACACTCTACCGCTTCGTCCAGTTTGAATTTTTATTTCCATGGTAAATTCATGATCCGTGTGCGCAAATATCAACTGACATCCTTTTAGGCTTGCTCCTTGACTTTTTTGTGTGTGTGTGTGCCTAATAACCACAAGGACTGATGTGTAAGATCATCATGTTGTCGATGTTAGCAACAAACTGTTTTTTAAAATACACGTTGACAGGTAGAAATTTTTAGATACCTCGATTGTTTCACGGACGCACGTTGGTGAACTACCCATAAATACATAAGTTTAGACGAACCTTAAAATGAGGGATCAGCGCTCAGAACAAGTAGGATTGAAAGAAGACATAACTTTGCACCAATGTTGACATTTTGTTCACACCTTCATGCTTTTCGTGATATTAAATCACTCAGTTCTGCTGTCTGTCGCAAATGATAACTTGTTATAAATGATGTACTGTTCATTTCAAAACAAGGTCATGAAAATCCTCCACATTTACGATGTTAAAACATTTTTTTCTTTTTATATCTTGATAAATTATACATAACTTTTGATTCTAGATAAGACTTGGCGTTCGGTATTACGCATCCCGCAACAGGAAAATTGAAGGAAAACATACGTCTACGTCAATGTTGACATTTTGTGTACATCTTTATGATTTTAGCTGAATTAAATTTCTTAGGTCTGCTGTCCGACGCAAATAATAACATTCCACGAGCATGGCACTGACCATCTAGACGCAAGGTTCTGGAATTCACTGCATTTGTACGGACTTGTAACTAATTTGGCTTTTTAGTTGATCAAATATAAAAGTTGTAGTTTTGCACGTCTTCGTTTTTATAAGGTATGTGTGTTTGACCTCGACTGAGCAATAAGAGCTTACCATCTCCAAAGTTCCGTTTGTTTTCCTCAACTCTGCGACTCTCTTTTCGCACAGTTCCTTTGCCCTCTCCAAGTCGTTAACCTTCTCTTCGATACATAGCAGCTCTAGATCTTCCGCCACTTCCATGAAACTTTCGCTTTGCCGTCTAACAGGCATTTTGACGTCTAGTCACTGAAAGTGGTCATTAAAGCTATTGAGTCCTTTGCGAGGTTTCATTTAAGCTGAGTACAGTTAGGCCGAATACTATTCAGCGACCGTTTAGGTCTTCTGTGGAAAATTCGAAGCTGTCGCGATAGTTGATTCGAAGAACGACCCATTTTTAAACAATCATTGCCACAGGATGATACTACTCCAGGAAGTGCAACCTTTTCACCCTCTATTGTCATCTGTTTGAGTGATAAGTTGACTACAAGCAGTAACGGAACAGCAAAGAAACGAGGAATCACGTCTGCTACGGAGAGCTTAATTTAATCGGGTTTTTTGTCACGAAACCATTAGAGAGAAGTAGGAAACGAATTCAATTGAATAGATGGGGGATCAGTGTAGTGACGTGTTGATTTGTCTCGTCGGTTTGCTGTTACTTTTGATTGCCAGGCTCTCTCGCCTATCGAGTTATCTTTAAGGTTGAGTAGAGACTCTAGTTATATTTCGTCTCGCTCGATTACTCGTCTCTCGGTCCCTGAGGATCAACTCATCTGAACGTGGCTGTCAGTTGTTCGAAAATAACTTAAAATTATTGTACACGCAAAGGGAGAACAATCAACCTTTGCCCTACTTGACATGCTTCTGCTTAATTGTTTTAATGATGTCCTTACATTCTGAGGCTGTTCGCCTCAAACTTGGGTCGGATTGCCTCAATTTGAGGACGATAATGCTCGTCTTTAATTCGTCTGTATATATCTTCACGGCGACGTCCGGTAAGGACACGTTTCCCGAACCACATTTCCCACATCATGAGACCAAAACTCTATATATCCACCTCTGCACTGTGGAGTTTGCCTTCCATCACTTCCGGTGCCATGTACAAAGGAGTCCCACACATTGTGCTAATGATTTTGTCTTTAAAGGTTGCGAGACCTAAGCCAGCAACTTTGATGTGCTCACGTTTTGAAATCTACAAATAATGCCGGGCAATGTTAATTTCCTGAACAAGTTTCTTATTTTTCAAAACTCCAATCAAAAAGAGAATCGCTATCTGATCCGGCTTTAGGTGAAACTCTTTGCCCCTGCGCCACGCGCTTGTATATGGCAAATTTTAAAGAGGAGGTAGAGATAGTTTGGGAGCCAGAAGACTCATCTTGCCGCAGCTTATCCCGGTTTCATTAGCATGAATCGAACTGGAGAATCTTGCATGCAAATTTTCCAAAGGACCGAAAAATTAGAGTTTATCTAATATTCATATCGAACGAAATGAAATATTAAGCTAGTAATGTGTTGCGTCGTAGTATTGTTTGCGTTTGTAATGAAGTCAGAGTAATATCCAACATGTGAGCCTAACATCCGAGCTCCTATAGTCATTGGACAATTTTTTTGCTTTAGACAATTTTGCAGTTGTTTCCAAGTCGAGATTTCAGTCAGATTGCTGATGAAGTGGTCAGTGGTATACTGAAAAAGCCCAGCCAGCCCTTTTTACCGGGTTTATGTGAAAATTTCCGCCTTGTGTTATAGTTAAGAGAAAAAAAAAATGAAATGTTTCTTCATTTCAGTACCTGGTTTATAATTCACCACAGTTCATATTCCATCAACTCACCAGAATATTGGCCAGCTCGAGATTTCGATGGACAACACTCTTGCTATGGATGAATTCAAGCGCATCTAAAATTTGTTTTGCCCACAACTGCTGCACTAGCCGTCTTCCATGGAATGCACTTAAAGATTTGTTTGTCTAAGCTCCTGATACACAAGTCGAACACCAGAACCAGTGAAACGAGTTGTCGCTCTTGAATGTCTATGCCAACTCCATGAAATGTTACAATGTGCTTGTGCTCAAGTTGCCTGCAAGAAATATGGTGTCCAAATTAATACTTCGCGAAGTAAGTTACCAGGGTAATCAATTTTTAAGCCTCGATAAAGTGATTAGTGAAACCGTAAAAGCGCGATTTGAAAATTTTTTTAAAAATTGATAATAAAGCATAAATTTTGATCCCGTTTCTTGGGGTAAAGTTAGTGATGCCTTACAATTTACTTTGAAATTGTGAAAAGCAAGAGCAAATTAATTGCCTGGAATTTTCTGACCAAAGAATTTATCAGACTCACACCTGATTGAAGAACAGAAAGATCAAAACGGATTATTACAAATGTAATTGGCATAAAATAGTTTCAGGCGTAGTTCGTTGTTCCTAATCTGCAGATTGAAAGGGATAAAATCAAGCGAACTTGTAATCAGCCAGTTGACTCTAAATAGACTGAGAAATGGCTAAGCGATCGCTCTTTCCAGGCTAAATTGAGTTAGCTTAGTACTAGATATGGTAAAAGAACCAAAACCAGATAATTCCTGAGGAAATCTTAAATGCAAGGACAAGAATTAATAACAGAGTCAATCACATGTAACACCAGACCGAGAATAAAACCTAGGCCTTAGGAGTCGAGCGCTTCAACCTCCAACCTTAATAAGACTGCTCTTGCCAGCGCTGGTTTCTCCTGTTGTAATGGGAAAGGCTTTAAACAATGAAAAATAAACTCCTTTCCTACGATGGAGAATATTTGAAAATTATACAGCCCTTTTATATACCCATGAATTAAAAGAGATTCGTACCTTCTTCATCCTAATTGATACTATACATCAAAGAGAGACAGATAATTTGTCGGACACCATGAGTTAACCCCATAAAATAATTAACAATTTGCCCCAGCTGTAACACCCTTTGAAGCATCTTATGACAGTTATTTTCATTCTTTCCACATCTCAGTTATTTTTTGTTATTGATAGTTTTCATTTCCGTGATAATCTTTTCTCAAAGTTGGAAGAGGATTGCTAGCTAGATAATTGTTAAGAAGGCGAGCCAAAATAATTATAACGCAGACCAAGCGGTGGAGAAGAGTGTTCCATGCCTTTCGATGAACGGCGATGCTGACAGTAAAAGTTGAAACTTTTTAAAACTGAGAGTGGTGAACCATGACGTTACAAATGAAACCTTAGGGAAAATCCCCTGAATTTAATCTGGGAACGATTGGAAAGGTTTCAAGTTTACTGTTGCGTGACTTACCAAGAATGAGAACAGTATGAGGTATGTGTGTTTGGCCTCGATTGATCAATAAGAGCTTACCTTCTCCAAAGTTCCGTTTGATTTCTTCAACTCAGCGACTCTCTTGTCGCACAACTCCTTTGCCCTCCCCATATCGGTATACTCCTCTTTGATACATAGCAGCTCTAGATCTTGTACTGCTTCCTTGATTCCTTCGCTTCGCCGTTTAACAGGCGTCGGTTTCGAACCTCGTTTCATCCTATTTTGACGTCTAGTCACTGAAAGTGGTCATTAAGGCTATCGAGTCTTCCGCAAGGTTTCATTTAAGCTAAGTACAGTTAATCCGAACACGATTCAGCGACTTTATGTCTTATGTCGAAAATTCAAAGCTGTCGGAATAGTTAACTCAAAGATCGACCTATTTTTAAACAGTCACTGCCACAGGATGATACTACTTCAGGAAGTTCAACCTTTTCATCTTTTATTGTCATCCGTTTGAGTGATCAGTTTACTAAAAGCAATAACGGAACAGGAAAGAAAAGAGGAAATCACGTCTGCTAAAAATGTGCTTCCGTGGAGAATTTCATCAAGACACGTATTATGCATTTTGGGTAGTCTTTCATATACCGCGCTTTGAAATAGCTAATATTTGAAATATAGATGTAGCAGAAGGGAAAGGAAAGTGGGTACAGAAGACCAGAGGAACAGAGGGTGCAAAGGACCAGAGGAATAGTGGGTACAGAGGACCAGAGGAACAGTGGGTACAGAGGACAAGAGGAACTGTAGGTACAGAAGACTAAAGAAACAGTGCGCACAGAGGACTAGAAGAACAGTGCGCATAGAGGACTACTGGAACAGCGGGTACAGAGGACCAGAGGAATAGTGGTTACGGATGACCAGAGGAACAGTGGGTACAGAGGACCAGAGGAACAGCGAGCAATAATCTCTTCTTACAATTTGTATTACTTTAGCCGCTAATTAATGCATACTAATGAACACTCGTCTAATCGAAAAAAAGATAAAAAACGGAAGAGTGGGCGTGCTCCACGGAACTCTTGCTCGATAGCAAAACTCTTAATTCGTGCACTCTGTTCGGAACTTTGGGAATAGTCATTTTCCTTTAACAATAAATGCAAAATGAGTTATCTTCATGAAACGAGCAGTGATCGAAAATCATCAAACGTAAAGTCAATACAACACTGAAATCGTTTGAATTGCGGAACATTCGATCTGTCCGGCCAAGACTCATACAACCCGTCAATTGCTTCATTGGTCTTCCTCAGTGAACATCGATCTTGTAATAAAAAGTTACACCTCTAAGATACCGAGTTTGTCAGGCTAAAAATTTCTCCGATGAATGCAAGCTTTCTCACCAATCATTGAACAAGCCGCAATCGCCTCTGCTAACAAAAAGGCTGATGTAAAAATAGATCCACTTCAATAGACCTTTTCCTTAGAGGACTTGTAAAATTTGGTGTCATGTTAACCATGAGATAACCCTGATTTGCGAAACGAAACAAAGTGAAAAAGTTTTATTTGTGAGCATAAATCAAATCGGTAATTTGCGAAAGGGAAATACCTCGTTTGTGAATTTGAAATCCGTAATATTCGTAGAAGGTTATTCTGTAATTAGCACTTTTGTGAATTTAATGAACAATGCAGTGGCTCTGTGAAAAAAAAAATGCGCCCTTAAGCCATGAAAGGCAAACCTGTTATTTGAAAAATTATCCAGCGCTGAAGCTGTACTGTTTCAATCATCAATGTGCGAAGTGAAATGCGCGATATGATACTCAAACGTTTGTTCATTGTATCAAAAAGGGGAAAGCTGTGTACTTAAAAAGAGAGAAGATTGCTTTGTACGATTGTACCAACAATTGTTTTATATATTAAAGTTATAAACATTAAAGTTGCGATAGTGCAAATGAAAACTTAGGGCTAAGGACCGGAAATTCCGTGATCTCGTCTGATAGGGTCGATGAAAAAAAGGAAGATAGAAAATTTGGTAATTATATACTGTATACACAGAGGGAAAGGTGAAGCAACTGATGGTGCACAAGTCTACTCAAAAGCCACACGCATAACTCAACAGTGGAGGATCGTAGACGCGATATTTTCAATAACAATTTAATTCCAGTGTTTAGGTGGCAGTTTTTCATTTGCATGAGAAAAAAGGAAGGAACGCCACGGCCCAGCGCAAGTAATTTGACACACAAAAAGTCAGTCGAAAAACAGATGAAAATAATTTGTATGATCGAGTAAAAGCTCCATTAACCGTTAGCCTTTACTATCAAAACCACCTTCCACCCCTCGCTGCGTAGTATTCTCTCACCCCATCCTACGTAATAACACTGTGCCTCCCACCCCTCCCTCAGCACTAACAGACTGCATCCCACCCCTCCCTGAGTACTAATAGTGTGCTTCATGTAATGTTGGTGTCTTTTAGAAAACTTGAGATAATACCTGGATTTCATTTTTACGTCACAGAAATCAGTTTCAAACATCAATCAAGTTTTCTCTTTAGTTTAAAAGTTGAGTTGATGTTGTTATTGGCTATATTAAATAGGTTGAAAAGTTTTAGATGGTATTTTCTCGTGTTTACAAATAATTGAATTTACTGGAAGGTGGAGTTGTTGCGCGCAACATGTTAACATGATACGCAACAATAAATTTTATTGATATGTAAAACGTTTTCATTTGACTATCTACTGGCAAGTCTTTGTATTATATTTCAACCCAACCATTTTCCACAACTTTTAAACACTATGACAAAATAATTAGTCAGGGAAATGGAAAACTTGTGGCATACACAACCATGTTTGAAATGCCATGTCCATAATGAGCTAACAGGATTGAGGAGGATGTATGTGGGAATAGGCTCTCCTCTCTCTATCATTAATTTGCTAATCGTTCCTGTTGGCAATGTTTTGATGAGGTTGAGCTGTCAGGACAAAGGAACTGAGGATTTTAGTAGGCAAAGTACCTGGAAACTATCATTGTGAAAGTTATACTTGTGCCTGGTAACTCGTTCTTATTCTGATAAACAAGTTTTAATATGGATACAATGGTTTATTACATAAATTTGATGCATGGGCTGCGCAGAAAACTTTACTTTGACTATACTTTTATAGCCAATACCAGTCTCTTTACATAATAAAATGTTAGGAGGATCAGAGGAAAAATAATCTGCCATACATCTACAAGATTTCACGTAATTATTTTAATCACATGAATATTAACTGATACAAGGAGATCTAAGAATATTCAAAAGAAAATAAAATTTAGTTGAAAAATTGGAATTCAGCATAGGCCGGATAAAAGAGATTCTTAGAAAAAGAAATGTGTACTGATGAAAAAGCTGAGCAAACTTTTTGAACACTTGCCTGTACCTGTACGTTAAATTAAATTAAATTAAATTTTGAAATAGTCATAATCATGGTTTCATATGTTGAAAACACATGCACATGCAGATTTCCCATAAACCTGTAGTTTAAGCCTGAGATGACTTCGAAATTTTGATGCACACCTCAAAAGGAGGACAAATAAATTTCAAATTTCTATTTATTCGGTTTAGGTTATTGACGTGAAATTGAGTCAAATATTCAAGACGTACAACAACAGGTTCGAGAAATTTTTGCACAACTTATTTTTAAGGTTAGCCTACCTGGAACAATCAGGTTTGTACTGATGATGTCCAACTATCTGTGGTAAAGGGGGCAGGCTTTCCTTTCTTTATTTAGAGAAATAATGAAGTGATCATCTTTCCACAAGCTCAGAGGAAAGCGAGAGTGAATGAGACTGATAGTGACTTTGTTTTCCGAATAAATATCCTGAGGAGGATAAAAAGTAAGATATGGTCTGATCAACTCTCTTATTTTAATTTTTAAACCTATGAAGCTAATGCTTTTAAATTCTTGTTTTGTGAATTATGTGGATGCCGATTAATTGAACCCCATAACTCCCACAATATGACCAAGACAGAGTTTCTCCTCACAACATCAATACAATATCAAGCAGACAAGTGATGAGAATATAGTAAAATAACAGTTAGGGGATTAAAAGTTGATTCAATACCAAATTCTCCAAATTAGCATCACAAGAACTGTGTGGCAGACAGTAAGGAGAATTACTAATGAGATCTTGGGAGTTAAAGGGTAAACTTTCATGCATCAAAATTGAAAAAAAATGTTCTCTCCATCTATGTGCCCTAAACATTACAGGGGAGGAAGCAGATGAAAGTAAAAACATGAATTAAAATAGGAGGGCCACCATTAATTTCAGTCCAAATTAAAGGTGAATCCTTGTTTTTCCAGATTCCCACCCTTTAGAACTCACATATCTTGTGACCAATTCCTTATATTAATGTTAAGTTTGGGTATGAGTATTGGTAAGAAACACCATGTATTAATGAAAGCTTAAGCAAGAGTGTTTAACGCAATCTAAATAATGATATTGTATGTTACAGTGTCGTAACTTACACAGCAAAATGATATAATCACACAATTTCAAACAAAGGAAGTCAGGTTATTGACTTACCTGCTTCAAATTTTGAGGGCTTAAGGTACAGAGAAATACATCTGGTAAACAGTTACAATAATACAAAGTTGAAAGTTTGAAAGCAAAAAGATATACATAACAATCATCAGACTCCGTGCACCCTAAAAAAAAAGGATCAATTACAACCATAACTTCTCCCAAACGTTTATGATTACAGGAAATCATTAATTTTTTTCACCAGGTGGTATTTTACTTACAACACTTCTACAGACACAATTAAATGCATTTTTTACAGTTATCTCATAGCATATGACTGTACAGGTCATGTGGAAGGTCCTGCATGGTGAGTGACATTTCAATTACCTCAGCAAACTCAATTTAATCGTCAGAATTGCAAGCCAAGGTGAATTTACCAAGTGCTCAAGTTTCCAAATTAGTCTCCTAATTGTTACAGTGGAGTTCATTCCTTTTTGAGGCTATCTTCGGCATGATCATCCAGTTACATGTGAAAACATCAAATGTTACTCACATATTCAAATAATTACTTGAATGAAAAGTTGTAACCTGCTTCCTTTCACCCTTTAATTCCCATGAGTGACCAAGACAGAATTTCTTCTTACAATATCAATACAATATCAAGCAGACAAGTGATGAGAATAAAGAAAAATATCAATTAGGGGATTATTAGTTGATCCAATAACAAATTCTTGAAACTAACATCACAAGAACTATACGGCAGACAGTAAGGAGAATTTCTAATGAGATCTTGGGAGTTAAAGGGTTAATTTTGCTCTAGAAATAGTAGATGGTACTGAAGAGAAAGGAAAAGAGTTCTTGAAACATTCTATGTTAAATGAAACTATGTTATGAATGGTAGAATAAAAAATAACTTTTTAAAGACACCTATACAATGGTAAGTACACACAACTGACATGTTGGAGTGAAGCATGTCACGCATTAAGGTATGATTGTCAATTTGCTTTTTATTACTTGCAAACAGCTTATTTCTATCAGCTTTGAAATCTTCAGTATTCTCGCTTTCAAAGAAAAGCATTTCCCATGAACATTGGCCGTTTTTATGCTAGAGACGTTAAAGTTGTCTAAGACGTTAAAGTCGTCTCGAGACGACTTTAACGTCAAGTATAAAAACGGTAAATAAGGCTGACGCATTTAACGTGTGACAACTTTAACGTCTTCTGTTAAGTGCGTCGTTTAGACGCATTTAACCGACGCCTTTAACATTTCAGACGTTAAATGCATGTAGTATAGAAACGGGACGCCCTTGCCGGGACGCATTTCGCCCTATCTCGTCCAGAGACGACTGGCCCGAGTTATGCTGAACGCTCAAAACAACATGGCGGCCAAGAATAACTCGAAGGAGACTCGCGGCAGAAAGTGGCGCGAAGTTGAGCTTAAGGTATTTGCAACTGTACTCGCAGACGACCGAAATGAATTTACGTTGACTTTAGAGACCCTGGCGCTTTTCATATTTTTCAAAATATTAAGAAAGAACTCGATGCTCGTTTGCAGACGGAGAACATACCAAACTCCATTCACCTTTAAACAGACGGAGAACATACAAAACAATCTTCTCTCTTTTCAGATACACAGGTTTCCCCTATTTGTTACAATAAGCAAACGCTTATATCATATCATATCACGCATTCCACTTCGTACATTAATGATTAAAACAGCACAGCTTCAGCGCTGCATAATTTTTCAAATAACAGGTTTGCCTTTCTTGGCTTAAGGGCGCAGTTTTTTTCTCACATAGCCACTGCATTGATCATTAAATTCATGCAAGTGCAAACTACAGAATAACCTTTTTCGAATATTACAGATTTCAAACTCACAAATTAAGTATTTCCCTTTCGCAAATTACCGATTTGAGTTATTCTCACAACTAAAACTTTTTCATTTTGTTTGTTTCGCAAATCAGGGTTATCTCGTGGTTAACATGACATCAAATTTTTACAAGTCCTATAAGGAAAAGGTCTATTGAAGTGGATCTATTTTTACATTAGCCTTTCTGTCAGCAGAGGCGATTGCGGCTTGTTCAATGATTGATGAGAAAGCTTGCATTCATCGGAGAAATTTTTAGCCCGACAAATCCGGTATCTTAGAGGTGCAACTTTGCTATCACAAGATCAATGTTCACCAGGGAAGCCCAATGATACAATTGACGGGTTGTATGAGTCTTGGCTGGACAGATCGAATGGTCTGCAATTCAAACAATTTCAGTGTTGTATTGACTTTACGTTCGATGATTTTCGATCACTGCTCGTTCCATGAAGATAACTCATTTTGCATTAATTATTTAACGAAAATGACTATACCCAAAGTTGCGAACAGATTGCACGAATTAAGAGTCTTGCTATCGCGCGGGAGTTTTCGTGGAGCACGCCCTCTCTTCCGTTTTTTATCTTTTTTTCAATTAGACGAGTGTTCATTAGTATGCATTAATTAGCGGCTAAAGTAATACAAATTGTAGGAAGAGATTATTGCTCACGTTTTGTTATTATAAGGTCACTGCTTCCGACTCTGATATTTATAGCGCTACTTTTGAATACTAGCTTCTTGCAAAACAGTCGGCTTGTCGAAAATTGTGCGGAAATTTCTTCCTGCATTTGTGCATACGGCATGGGAAGAACTCAAACATAGAAATGTATCGCAGCTCAGCTCTCTTGCAAGACACAATTTTCAGGAAACAAAGACTCCCTCGATGTAGCTCATCGCAATAAAATACAAAACGAGCTAGGTCTTTAAAGTAAATAAGGGAAATGACAATTCTTACCGTTTGTCCAATGGCCCAGTCCAGTTTTTACCCTATGCCTGTTCCTCTGATTCCGCTGTTCCACTGGTCCTCTGTGCGCACTGTTCCTTTGGTCCTCTGTACCCATTGCTCCTCTGGTCCTCTGCGCCCACTGTACCCACTTTTCTTACCCTTCTGCTAAATTTATATTTTAATTATTAGCTATTTCAAAGCCCAGTATATAAGAGACTTCCCAAAATACATAAAACGTGTCTTGATGAAATTCGCCACGGAAGCACATTTTGAGCAGACGTGATTTCCTCTTTTCTTTCCTGTTCCGTTATTGCTTTTAGTAAACTGATCACTCAAACGGATGAAAATAAAAGGTGAAAAGGTTGAACTTCCTGAAGTAGTATCATCCTGTGGCAGTGACTGTTTAGAAATAGGTGGTTCTTCGAGTTAACTATTCCGACAGCTTTGAATTTTCGACTGAAGACATAAGTCGCTGAATCGTGCTCGGGCTAACTGTACTCAGCTTAAATGAAACATCGCAAGAGACTCGATAGCTTTAATGACTACTTTCAGTGACTAGACGTCAAAACAAGATGAAACGAGGGTCGAAACCGATGCCTGTTAAACAGCGAAGCGAAAGTGTTTTGGATGTGGCGCAAGAGTTAGAGCTGCTATGTGTCAAAGAGGAGGTTACCGACATGAGAAGGGCAAAGGAACTGCGCGAAAAGAGAGTCACTGAGTTGAGGAAATCAAACGGAACTTTGGAGATGGTAAGCTCTTCTTGATCAATCGAGGCCAAACACACATACCTCATAAAACGGAAGACATGCAAAACTAAAACTTTTATATTTCATCAAACTAAAAAACCAAATTAGTTGCATGGCCGTACATATGCAGTGTTTTCCAGATCACTGCCTTGCTAATGGAATGTTATAATTTGCGTCAGACAGCAGACGTTGGAGAATTCATTCTGCTAAAATCATAAATGTGTACACAAAATGTCAACATTGACGCAGACGTATGTTTTTTTCCAATTTTTCCGGTGCGGCATGCACTAAGTTTCATTTAGACTTCCATATTATACGTAATTCATCAAAATTTGAAGCGAAAATAAGATTTAACATCATAATTGATCATGAACGATAATTTTAAGGATCTTGTTTTGAAATGAAAAGAGCATTATGTATAGAATGATTGCGACAGACAGCAGAACTGAGTAATTTGATTTCACTAAAAGCATGGAGGTGTAAACAAAATGTCAACATTGGTACAAAGTTATGTTTTCTTTCAATAGTGGCTTGTTCTAAGCGCTGATCCCTCAATAATAAGTTTCGTCTATACTTATGTATTCATAGATAGCTCACCCAGGAGCAAGCGCGTCCGTGAAACAATCAAAGTATCAAAAATTTGAGCATGTCAACGGGTAATTAAAAACCAGTTTGCTCGTACTTTACATCGACAATATGTTCATTCCAAACATCAATCCTTTCGATTTAAAATAGGTCGAGGAACGAGCTTAATGAAAGTCAATTGCGCACAGGAACATGAATTTTTATGGAAATGAAAATTACAAACCGGACGAAGCAGTAGAGTATGCTTACAATATAAATCAACCCAGCGCCCAGGCAAGAGACAAAGAGCAAACATTTTTATGTATGCGAAGCAAAGTATGAACTCTTTCATATTGAAACTAGTTCGTTTATTCCAATCGCTGTGTTCACGAAATGCATAACCAGTTCTGGAAACTTTGTGCATAGAATTTAACCTCCCAGTCGTATCGATATCAGGTGCGCGGACGAAAATATTATCTAGCGATATCCTAGACCCGTTTAAATTAAGATCTTAAGCCTTGAACTAAAACGGGTGAATAAACAAAGATTCAGTAAATAGAAGCTGCCAGCATTAAGTTATCCAATACCGACGGAGCAAGCATTTACTACCAGTAATGTTGAATGGCACTTCCTCCTGATCTTTACGGTTTTCGCAGAAAGTTGATGCGGAAAAGAAGTAGAAACGTGTACATTTTTCATTGCGCATTTGGATGAAACGGAAGCGGAAACGATAAAGAGGCCTGAGAAAACAGGACGACAGTCGTGCACGTAGGTTATGAATTTGAGTGCATTCTGTTGCCCTCGTATGTGAAGCAACAGCGGCGGTAAAATTAGTCCCAATCACTGCAAGTAGTCAGCGCCAGACAGCAGAACTGAGTAATTTGACTTTACTAAAAGCACGGAGGTGTAAAAAAAATTTCAACGCTGATGCAGTTTTATGTTTTCTTTCAATAGTCGCTTGTTCTAAGTGCTGATCCCTCAAAAGTAGTTTTCGTCTAAACTCATGTATTTATAGATGGTTCACCTACGAGCCAGAGCGTCCGTGAAACAATCAAAGTATCTAAAAAATTGAGCATGTCAACGGGTAATTAAAAACCAGTTTGCTCGTACTTTACATCGACAATATATTCATTCCAAACATCAATCCTGCTGATTATCAAAAGATCGAGGAACGAGCCTAAAGGAAGTCAGTTGACAATTGTGCACACAAAACATGAATTTTCACGGAAATGAAATTACAAACCAGACGAAGCAGTAGAGTATGCTCACAATGTAAGTCAACCCAGCATCTAGGCAAGAGACGAAGAGCAAACATTCTTATGTATGCGAAGCAAAGTATTAAACTCCTTCGAATTGGAACTAGTTCGTTTATTCTAATCGCTGTGTTCACGAAAAGCATGACCAGTTCTTGAAACTTCGTTCATAGAATTTTTAAAACCTCCCAGTCATATGCATATCAGGTGTGCGGACGAAAATGTTATCTAGCGATATCCTAGACACGTTTAACTAAAGATCTTAAGACCTGACCTGATACGAGTGAATAAACAAAGATTCAGTGGATAGAAGCCGCCAACATTAAGTTATCCAATACCGTCGGAGCTAGCATTTACTACCCGTAATGTTGAATGGCACTTCCTCCTGATCTTCACGGTTTTCGCAAAAAGTTGATGCGGAAAAGACGTAGAAACGTATACATTAGTCAGCACAGCGCATTAGGATGAAACAAGACGACAGCCGTGCACTTAGTTTGTGAATTTGAGTGCATTCTGTTGCCCTCGTATGCGAAGCAATAGTAGTGGTAAAAATTAGTCCCAATCACTACAGGTAGTTTTAAGATGTGTTCGTCTGTTCGGACGAAGAAAGTTAATCGAGGGCCTCAAATCACCAAATAAAGACACAGCACCGATAAAAATCATTAGTCCCTTTCCTCCTTTGAAAGCATACAAATAGGCATATCACATAAATTAAAATATCACAGCAATTTTTGCTCTTTTAGGTGCAAACACTCCTGAGAATTTTTTTTTTCAATAACCATTCATTGTTTAGGGATATAAGGGAATCTTGGACGATATCAAACAAACACTCGATCGCCGACGAGTCCTGGAAGAGTACTATTTAAAAGTTAAAGATAACCTACAGACAACTGGAGCAGTTAGCGAGACTGAAATAAATGACTTTCGGAAGGAAGCTGAGACATGTCTCAAGGATCTCGGAACCAAGAGATACACTGTTCTCATTCTTGGTAAGTCCTGCAACAGTAAACTTAAAACCTTTCCAATCGTTCCCAGACCAAATTCAGGGGTTTTTCCCTAAGGTTTCATTTGTAAGGTCATGGTTCACCAATCTCAGTTTTAAAAAGTTTCAACTTTTATTGTCAGCATCGCCTTGCACCGAAAGGCATGGAACACTCTTCTCCGCCGCTTGGTCTGCGTTATAATTATTCGCCTTCTTAACAGTTATCCAGCTAGCAGTCCTCTTGTAACTTTGAGACAAGATTATCACGGAAATGAAAACTATCAATAACAAAAAATAATTGAAATGTGGAAAGAATCAAAATAACTGTCAGTAGATGCTTCAAAGGGTCTTACAGCCGAGGCAAATTGCTAATCATTTCAAGAGGTTAACTCTTGGTGTCCGACAAATTATCTGTCTCTCTTTGATGTATAACATCAGTTAGGATGAAGAAGGTACGAATCTCTTTTTATTCACGGGTATATAAAAGGGCTATATAATTTTCAAATATTCTCCATCGTAGGAGTGGAATTTATTTTTCATTGTTTAAAACCTTTCCCATTACACCAAAACAGGAGAAACCAGCGCTGGCAAGAGCAGTCTTATTAACCTCCTACTTGGCGAATGCATTATGCCAACCAGTATTCAGCAGAACACACTGACCATATGTGAAATATCGTATGGAGCGGCCAAAAAAGCTGTGCTGCACTTCGCTAACGGACGCAAGTCACCTCGTGACCTCACTGGGGACAAATTTTACAAGTATAAAGATTACGTTAAAAAACCGATAGAGGACGAAAACTGGTGTGAGTGGATAGAGATCAGGATTCCAAATCTATTATTGAAGGTGAAAAAACTTTGTGTATTTGGAATAAAAGTAACAGAGGTATTTTACGTATATGAAGCAATTTGGCATGGAAGAGCAAGAATCCCTAATAAAACCTGAAAAAAATCAAAGTTTCTCACTGTATAAGGCTTTGCTGGCACAGGAGCTATAGTCTATGACAGAAATATTTTTTTCTCCCCTTCCTTGCTCGCTGTTGCATAGGGATAACATCACAAGTGAAGTTATCGGACATGTATCAAAACATATCTAGGATTGAGATCATTTTTAGTGTCATGTATCCTCTAACGCACTATGCTGTCAATGTGCTGTGTTATGCTGTGCCATTCTTTTCTGTATTGTGCTGTGGCTCGCCCCGATAGTGACACCGAAGCTCCTGGTGAATAAAAGAATCGCAGTAGGAGTTTATGAACAACCAAAAAGCAGAAAAACGTGATTATTGTTGTGCATTCATTTAGTAGAGACACTTACTCTTTAATTGCTTTCTATATTCTGTCATCGATTGAGTATCTAACAAGCTGGTACAATCATGTTACTTGATTACAGTACTTTGGTAGTGTGACAGTGATATCACCAACATTGGCAAACTTTTAATATTTACCCAATACACGACGATTATCTCTTATTCAATTAACTATATCCACTGAGGTTCTCGGCTGCTCTCTCTCTTAGGGTGGTGTAGTGATCGTAGACAGCCCAGGAATTGGTGATTCAAAGCGTGTCAGTGAAATCACCTTGAAATACTTGAGTCGAGCTTACGCCTTTATCTACGTAATAAACACTATAAACGCCGGAGGATTACAACAAGACAGGGTAAACTCATGACTCCTTATCTGTCTAATACACTTTTGAAAAGTAAGAATGTATTTAGGGAAAGATGTTTTTTCGTCTTTTCACGAGAATGTATTTAGTTTAGCATGAGGTATGTGTCACTTATCAAGACGCATCACCCAATTTTAATTAATTCTGAAAAATGCCCCGAGAGCAAATATGATTATCCATTCTTTGAATTTTAGCGTTTGTGATAAATCTTTCAGCTGATGCCTATCTTGAGTGAATGGAAAAAACTCTACAAGGGAAAAGATGGCCGTGGTATCACTTCGGAATCTGCTATTTTTGTCTGTAACAAGTGGGACGAGGTGGAAAAGCAGTCCAACCGAAATCAGAAGGAAGATCTTGAAAGGCAAATTATCGACACTCTCAGAAAGAATATTCCCGAACTGGATGAAAAATTCCAAATCATAAAGATGTCAGTCTCTAGAGCTACAGAAGTAAAAGAGAGATTTGAAGTGATGGATGATGATCTTAAAAGTCTTGTGAATCGACTACAGCGTCTTCTGCCACTCTGCATTGAGAGAAAAACAGAATTTTTTTACTAGTAAGTTTGATTTTATCTCCCAATTGATTACTCAAACTATCCTATACCTTGAGCACACGTTACTGAAGAAAATTTTTTTCAAGTTCCCTCAGCCCTCGTGAATAACTCTATTTGAGAAACCTGCGAGTAAAGAGTATTCTAATCCAACGAGATATGACACTTGTCCATTAAAGAGGGCGTAGCAGATTTCCTATGATTTGAATATCCTTTTTATTGTCGAAAGGAGCTACAGAAATATGTCGCCCCAAAGAAACATTCAAATCAACACATTACGATGTTTCTAAGTCGTGTTTAAAATGAATATTTGCCCAATTTCGAAAATGATACCAAAATACTAAGCTTGCTGAAATGTTTACCGACTGGTTTTGTTAAGCTAAGAATCAATCCAAAAGACTGCTGAGGAAAAAAAATTAACTGAGTCGCATTTTACTCTGAGATAAAAAAGAACGCTTTTTAACAAGTGTTAAATTTCTGCTCTATTTGACAGCTGGATCAGCGGCCAGCTCTGCAGCTTGTCCGATCAGCTCAAAGGTGAAATGCAAAATGCCAAAAGGACCAAAGACGAACGTCTCAAGGCTCGGAAAGAACTTGACGATAAACTCAGCGAACTTAAACAAGGCACCCCCATTCGGGAAATTGAGGACGCCATAACTTCCAGTGTGGACCAAGCACAAATAAAACTTGCGTCCTACTTACAAACTGAAGAATTTAGAACAAAATTTTTCAGATGGACAGAAGACGATGTGCCTAAAACGGAAGAGGGTCACAACTTTTCAAAGATGAAGGAAGCATTTACCGCATGCATTGAACAACGATTCGAATATACCCTCCAAAAGTGGGAAAGCACAGATAATTTTTTCTCCCAAGCACATTTAGAATTGGAAGCACTGTTTGACAAAGGTTTCCTAGAATTTGAGAGAGAAATTCGAGACATTGACCGTGTACTTGTCGGAAGTGACGTGGACGACTTCCAACATTTTGAGATTCGCCCGGGACGGATGTTCTCGCCATTAGATCCCAGAATGAAAAAATTTCTAGTGATGACTGGCGTGATTTTTTGGCCAGTTTTGATGTCCGTAGGCCTCGCCGCAGGAGTTCTTTCTGCACCCGTCCTTGGAGTACTGGCGATTGGAAAGCATCTAAAGGATCACCATCTGAAGACCAATTGTTGTCAGACACTAAAAGACCTCTCAGCAGAGTTCCTCGAGGACTTCATCACTCACAAAATCCGCAGTTATGTCCAAGACAAATTCAGCGAGGAGACGAATCGCATTGCCAGCATCAAGAGGTGTCACCAGCAATTAATCACCAAATACGAGCAACGATGCAAAGACCTGACAAAGAGCGAAGATGAATCAAGGGAAAAGGAGATCCTCAATAAATGCCGTCCACTGTACACAAATCTGATGAGCATGAATGAAAACTTGATGTTCGATGCAATCCAAAATGGAATAAAGGTGATGTACCCATCTTGCCAGCTTGAAGTGAGAAGACTTCAGTACAATGAGAGCGAAAGAAAGGCGTGCCTTGGTGAAGGCAGCTTTGGTAAGGTTTTAAAAGGAAAATACTCTCCTCCTGGACATAGAAGAAAAGATGTTGCGGTCAAAAAGATCCGGAAACATCCAGATCCATCAAATGTTGCCGCCTTTCTCAAAGAAGCAGCAATGTTAAAGTAAGATTTTTTTTAAATATCAGATTAGCCAGCGATCGTGCAGAGGTTGAAGCGCTCAACTTCTAAGGCCTAGAAGTTACATATGATTGACCTTGGTATTAATTCTTGTCCTTGCCTTTAGGATTTTTCTCAGGGATTATCTGGTTTTCGTTCCTTTATTATATCTAATGCTAAACTAACGCAATTTAGCTTGGAAGAGCAATCGCTTAGCCATTCTGTAAAAATTGTCTTAGTCTATTGAGAGTCAATTGACTGATTACAAGTTCACTTGATTTTATCCCTTCTAATCTGCAGATTAGGAACTACTATTTGTGCCAATTGCAATTTATAGTCCGTTTTGATCTTTCTGCTATTCAATCAGGTGTGAGTTTTCAAGTGAGGTATTAATTTTGACACCATATTTTTCACAGGCAACTTGAGCACAAGCACATCGTAACATTTTATGGAGTTGGCATGGACGTTAAAGAACGACAACTCGTTTCCCTGGTGCTGGTGTTCGACTTGTGTAGCAGGAGCCTAGACAAGCAAATCTTTGAAAACGACGAGTACATTCCATGGAAGACGGCTAGTGCAGCAGCTAAGATAGTACCCTGGGCAAAACAAATTTTAGATGCGCTTGAATTCATCCATAGCAAGAATGTTGTCCATCGAGATCTCAAGCTGGCCAATATTCTGGTGAGTTGATAGAAAATGAACTATGGTGAATTATAAACCAGGTAATGAAATGAACAAGCATTCCTTATCGTCCTATCATGACCATAGGACAAAACAAAAATTGTGGTGAGTTTATGAGTGGAAATTAGGGAATCCTCCCATGAACCCGGTAAAAAGGGCTGGCTGAACTTTTCCAGTATATCCCTGACCACTTCAACAGTAATCTGACTGAAATTTCGACTTGGAAATAATTGTAAAATTGTCTAAAGCAAAAAATATCCAATGATCACATGAGCTCGGATGTCAGGTTCACATGTTGGATAATACTCTGACTTCATTACAAGGGCAAACAATATTACGACGCAACACATTACTTACTTAATAATTCATTTCGTTCGAAATGATTAAACTCCAATTTTTTGGTCCTTTGGAAAATTTGCATGCAAGATTCTCCAGTTTGATTCATGCTTATGAAATCGGGATAAGCTGCAGCAAGATGAGTCTTCTAGCTCCTAAGCTACCACTACCTCCGTTTTAAAATTTGCCATATACAAGCGTGGCACAGGGGCAAAGTGTTTCACCTAAAGCCGTATTAAATATCGATTCTCTTTTTGACTGAAATTTTCAGGAAATTAACATTGCCCGACATTATTTGTAGATTTCAAAACGTGAGCACATCAAAGTTGCAGACTTAGGTCTAGCAACCTTTAAAGACAAAATCACTGGCACAGTATGTGGGACTCCTTTATACATGGCACCAGAAGTGATGGAAGGCAAACTCCACAGTGCAAAGGTGGATATATACAGTTTTGGTCTCATGATGTGGGAAATGTGGTTTGGGAAACGCGTCTTTATCGAACTACGCCGTGAAGATATTTATAGACGAATTAAAGACGAGCATTATCGTCCTCAAATTCCCAAGGATGGAAATCTCCCTCCAGCAGAATGGATTGAGCTCATGACATCGAGTTGGCAATCTGACCCAAGTTTGAGGCGAACAGCCACAGAATGTAAGAACTTTATTAAGACAATTAAGCATCAGTATGTTAAGTAGGGGAAAGGTTGATTTTCCTCGCTTTGCGTGTACAATAATTCTAAGTTATTTTCGAACAACTGACAGCCACGTTCAGATAAGTTAATCCTCATGTACCGAGAGAGAAGATCGGGCGAGATGAAATATAACTAGAAATTCTGCTTGACTCGGAAAGAGAGACTGGCCCATTAGCCCGTCACGTAAATTTTTGTAGTGAGCCAGGAGCGTCTTTCATTTTCATCGATTGATGGTTTGTCCCTGGGACTCCAAGCATGAAGCATGTTTGGATCACTCAGCGATCATTACATGAGAACTGCAATTGAATTTTATAACACTTTTGTTATCATTATACGAATATTAAGAATCGTAATTCTGGCATCTTATAACAGCGAGAAAAGTTACAAAGTAGGGTAACGATAGTAGAAATGTGAGTTTTACTATGAAGTTAAACAATCTAGGTTGCTCATTTGGGAAGACGTAGAGCAAGTTCCTTCAAAGCAGCGGCCAGGTTTCTGATTCAATTCCGTAACACATGCTCGGTTGGATTCTGCCGGTATGTGGGGCAGAAAATGATTTAAAGACATGGAACGAGACAAGCCTAGGTATTTTTAGATTATCATCAACATTTTGGCTGCCCGGAATTTATCTCATCGACGAAGTTTTCTTTGTTCATTAACGGTCAACGCAAGTAGCTCAAGCTCCCACGATTAGGCTCGGTATAAATAATGATGGTGTAATTATATGTTAATGTTACGCAATAGGCGAAATGTTAGGATTCGTATAGGTGTATACGGTCACGCTTTTGACCCAAAAATCTGAATTAGTTTTCAATAAAACTACACTTTCATCACCTCTTTGTTTTTTCCCTTTGCATGTTGTGAGTTCTCTTGTCAGATTTTCGGCCGTTCAGCGCGTTCCATGGTTCTCCTGATTTACCCTTAAAAGGATCACATAGTTCTCCCAGTACTCAACTCCCAGCCACAGACAATTTGAAAGTTCTTCATTGAGACATTTCAGCCCATGCAAACAAATGGGCTAAAGTTTTCAGTAATGTTCACATTTTAAATCTATAATAATAATATCACGCAACTCAAAAAGGAATTTAAAACGCATGTAAGGCGTAAACATTTAATTGACTATTTCCATAATTATCAACTGTGACGAGTGAAGTACACGTCATTTTCTTTATTCTGTTTTAAGTGCTCTTGGGACACACTTACCAAGAGAAACCTGCCAAATAATGTTTTGGACCTGATATACCAACCTTTCATTTTCAATTCGTAGAAATGTAATATTACAGTGGTTGCGCGACTCGATCTCGTGACCGCTGATTCACTGTAACCACATATCATCGTGTTAAACACCTATTGAAATCCTATTCAAAAGGTACAGATGTCATTTAAACAGACGCGTAACGCGATCGTATGTGTTTAATATGAATCAAGAAATTCGAAATCGCACGCAATTTTTCGGTAAATTCTAATGAAAAACAGTCAAGTGCGACTCCCTTGCTCCTTACATTCATGCAGCTTCTGCTTCCTGAGCACATTTAGCTGATCGGCGGATGTGTTGTTTTCGTGATAGATCCTTTTCGATGATGATATCTGTCAGTTGATATCCATCGGTGTTGACAGGTCTAAATTAGGTCAACCTTCCTCATTCCTTTTTCATTCGAGTTAGTTCAGGGTGTAGTCGTTTATGCTACACCTCTCCTTCACCTTCTCGCTTCTTTGGTTTGCATGGTAAGTAAGGTGCAGCAAGAGATTATGTTCAATGATTTCAACTAATTCACAATCAAGAATCGGAGACGGATTCGGAGTTACGTTTTTTGGAATCTCTTAACGCTTTTTAACACTACCCTTGTCATTAGAAGGAATCTGCAACAGTTAAGTTCACAATGGCGGCGAGAACAACACACGAACCTCTTAAAGAGGTAAGCCAATACTCCGGATTCGGAGTTACCTTTTTTTTCCAATCTCTTGACGCTTTTTAACACTACCCCTGTCATTAGAAGGATTCGCACAATGGCGGCGAGAATAATACACTGACCACCCAAGAATAAGCTAAGATCCAAGCATGTCGACGCACAATTTTAAGTACATGCAATTTAAACGTCTCTTACTGCTTATGCAAATTAACAGGCTCTAGTTCTCGGTAATATTCCCTTTTGCTCTGCGATAACAACAACACGAACTCAGAGAGGAAATAGTGCTTGGAGTAAGAATACCTTAGAGGTAAACACGGGAAGCAAATCAATTTTATAATAGAATTTTCCATATTCTAAATACTCTATGCATGATAATCAGTTGTTCCAAGTTTGGAAAACACCAGAATGGTACGTTCCTTTTGAAATCGACCACGAGTGATCACTTATGCAAACGCTTTCAGACATTAAGTATCACTGCTTCGATGACTTTCTTTCCCGAAGAAATTTATCGGACGAGAATGGTAAAATACTAAAAGATCCCTGGTGTCTTCGAAGCAGACTTGTGGCGGTTCCACCGACAGATATGCTTAAAATTGTCTAAAAACCATCTTTTATTGCCCATTCACGTACTTCTTCCCTAAGTCAAAGACTCGTACAGCTGCAGTTTGCCTAGTTTTACTTCTATTTGCTGTACTTCAGCAATTTCATAGTGACAAATATTTGGCCTTCCTTAACTTGAGCCACGCAGCGGTAACTGAATTTTTACTCGTACGCACGAGAGGATTGTAAGAGATGTGCCCTACTTTCGCAACTTTTACCATGTACATGTGCAAATATCGACAGCAAATCTATGCAATGACGAGATTTTTTATCGTTTAATTTTTAGCTTCAGCAATTTAAAAGCTCTCTATTTATCTATATCTATAGCAAAAGCAATGAAATAGCCTCAAGTTTTCCATGGTATTCTTATTTTTTGCCTTTTAATAACAATATCATGCAACTTAGACAGGAACACTTAAAATTGCCAGCCGACGTAAGGCGTAACCCCAATAGGGAAATTAAGACACCTTGTTCGGTGGTTTAACAAATGTTACTTGGAGTATTTTGCGAGTTGCGCAATGAGCGAAATGCCCACTCGTATTATGTGTTAATCCCTTGCGGAATAAGGCGTTTATTACTCTACTATTTATTCCCGTTATAGATTATTTTGGCCACTATTTTTCTAAATATATCCTTTTGTCTATCTGAGCATAGTATCGATCGAATGCAGCCAGCGTGAGAGAAAAAACTAAAAGTGAAACCACTGATTGAAGTATTTTTTATCACCAACAAAACAAGATTATCATGCGTTTGAAAGCTCCTTGCTTTAAACGTCAAGTCCAATAGAATGGAATAAAACCGAAGTTGGATCGTTTTGTGTGGCCATTTGGTTTCCCAACGTTCCGTTCGTATTTTTGCCCCGTAGCACAGTGTGATACCGTACATATGTTGTTGTTGTTGCGGTGTCTCGTGAGCAGACTTTATGGCGAATTCCTCCCACTGATAAGTTTAATAATCCGATATTCTTTTTCTTTTAGAAAAAAACCATTGAAGCTTGTCTTTTGAGTTGCACTGTTTTAAATGCTTCACATAGTTACCTCAAATGTGTTCAAATATACCGTCCGAATACATCTGGGTGATACGAAAAGAGGCACATAGGGCACCGGAACTTGGAAACGTTCTAGTTACGGTTTTCACGCCGGCATAATCAGTTATCTTACATCGTATTTTCTGAGTTACTTTAGAAAGGAAAGTGTACATTGCAGCGCTGAATAGTAATCAAAACTGTTTTCTTTGAAAACATTTTGACTTTCCATGGAGTGTCCATGAATGTTCGAAATGGCCGGCTGGTTTCCTTAGATATCGTCCTTGAGTTGTGTGCCATAAGTCTAAAGGATCAAATCTTCAACGAAAACATAAACTTTACGCTAAGCAATGAGTTTTTATTCTGTTTTGGACAGAGCAACCGCGCTGTTTAAAGCTTGCTATGGTTGGATGGCTTTAAGTGGTCTTCCCAACCACAAAGCAGGTCGGCGACAACATTAAGTCTGTCTTGACCCCACAAAACGGATCCATCGTTTACTTGATAGCTCGGAACTCCACAGAGTCCGGTGGCAAAGGCTCTGAAACGTGGTAAAGGAAAATTACTTATTTAACTAAACCGCTCCTCCACGATTAAAAGT